GTTCCAAAGTTCAAGTTTGGTGAACTCTGACCTGCGAATTTGCATCATGTGAAGACGTGTGACCAGTAGAAGATCGATACGTCACTGCGTGACCTCTCTGTACAGAAATTCAAAAATGGAGGAAGCGCTAATTTTGGCCGTAGCGCAGCGTCCTATTTTATATAATACATCTTTAAAAGATTATAAAAATAAAATAATAAAAAAAGCTGCATGTTTCGCGGTGTCAATGGAAACAGGAACAGACGGTACATTTGAATGCGGACACATTTTTATCATTTTTTATTTCTTATTGTATATATATATATATATAGAGAGAGAGAGAGAGTACAATATAATTACTATACACAAGTGTATTATTATTAAATTACTTAATGTTGTTCCTTATTTTATATTTATATTTTCAGACTCATTTTAAAATTAATTTTGCACACCTCAAGAACTTATAAAATGACCTATTTAAAGGGAAAAACAGTCAAACCAAAATGTATTCAGACACCTTGAACATTTCATTCATTAATACGGTTTATTCACTATAGTTAAAAAAAAAAAAAAGGTAATAAAATATGACGGAGCCGAAAGTACTCCTTGTGGCGATCCTCATCCAGCCGAAGCTCCCGAATTAAAGAATGGAACTCTCCCCGCTCATTCCAAGTCCGTAGAATAGGGTGAACCCACAGCCTTTCCAGACGCTTTCAACGCCGTCGCAAAAGACACAGTACAAGCACATAGGAATGTTGATATTCTCTGTATTTTTATATTTGGTACCTTGGCATTAATAAAAAAATGTAAAAAAAAAAAAAAGGACCTCGGAATCCATGTTGTGATAACTGAGGGGAAACCTTGGCGCGTGATGTCATATCCTGCTCCCGCCCATATTCGCAGCGCCGTCTGAAAAAATTTCGCACGTTCAAAGTCTAGTGTGACCGCCCCTTTATGCACACCCCTTCAAGTAAAGTGTTACCGAAGTTCTTCTCACTTATCCAGTTATTATGACTATCGACATAAAGTCTGGTCAACATTTTTGGCTTATTCTAGCCAAGAACAGCACAATTGCATCACAAACCGATTGTGTAGTCAAAGGCATACAGTGATCCTGAAGCTTCTCTTTCAGACAGGGGAATGTAGGGAAGTGTCTCATTATCTCTACATGAGCTGGCCAGATTTTGGTGTTCCGAAGTCAGCGTCGGCCATGTTGGATTTCCGGGCACACGTGAAACGGAGACAAGAGTCCTCACTACGAACACTGCATCCTGATTGGACGGGATCCCCAGGAGGCCCCCCAGTGGTGGTGCACTGCAGCGCAGGCATCGGCCGAACAGGTGACTTTCTGCCTTCATTTTTGATCTCATTTCTTAACTGCGCTACAGCATTCTTACATGTTTTATTTTTTCCTTCATCCTCAGGCACGTTTTGTACTTTAGACATTTGTCTCTCTCGTCTGGAGGACATCGGGACAGTGGACATTAAGCAGACGGTGCGTCGCATGCGGACGCAGCGTGCCTTCAGCATCCAAACGTGGGACCAGTACTACTTTTGCTATAAAGCAGTGATCGAGTACGCCCAACAGAGCGGCCTCCTGCAGCCCGTGGAGTGGTCCGACACCGAGCTGGAGACCGACAGCGAGTGAATCAGGAAAAACAGAACTCGCACGGAAGGAAAAGAAGCCGTCTTTTCCCCTTTCTTGGCCACAGGTAGACTCCAACGCCGAGGAGGGAGCGGAGGATGCTTTTGTCCTGCCACTTTTCAAGCCCTTCTTTTCACTCTGATCCAGACGAGATCAGAGATTGTGGCTTGATGTACGAGTTGTAGCATTTATTCTTTGTTTTGTTTTTTATAAATACTGACTTGCACATGTGGAATGACAAACTTGAAAAATCCAGTTTATCGTATTACCTGCTCTTTTTATTTTAATGCTCAGTGTTGTCGAAATTCAATATCGCTCAACTTGGGGGTTAAATTCACACTTTTTATCAAAAGTGTAAAAACATAAAACTTGAATATTCTTTTTTTTTCTTTTTTTTTTTCTCCGTCACATTAAAATAGCAACTTCTTTGTGTCTGAACAGGTTCCGACAGGTTTCTTTCAGTTGTGTACTTCATCGTTAAACTAATCTTCAAGCCAAAGGTATGTTTTCGAATGCTTGGATGTATCCGTAATGATCGGTGTGACTTATATCTTGTAACATACATCATATATATATATACATATATATATATATATATATAAATAAAGAATATAAGTATATGTGGGGTTAAAACAAAATGAAAGAGAAGGAGGAACACAACTATGCTATATATAAGGTATGTCTTGGTGACTGTTCTGGTCCTGCAGTTTTGATTTTCATCTAACCGTAATCTATGATTATCCAGCCTTAATGCAGGCCGTCTATCATTCGCAGAGCATCTCAACTGTGAAGATTCTCTCTGAATTCTGGCCCTTAACCTTCAGTCACTGCCTTGCTCCCTCTAAAGTATGAACTTTGACTTTTTACTCAGCTGGTCTTTTTTTATTTCTACTCGTTTTGAAACTCTCCTTCCACTGCGGGCCCCAAGTTGAAGTATCCTGACCCACACGGACACTGATTCTGTTACCGTGATTATCTTGATAAGTGTTCCGTACTGATGTGAAGTGTTGGAGTCATTTGTTACGAGTGAACTGGGGTCTTCAGCTGTATGGTGTGTTTGTGTGAGTGTGTGTGGAGTCTTGGGGTCAGAAAACCCGTTTTTGTGCCTTCCAAGTTTTCCGTAGCGCAATGTGTAGTTTCAGGCAATGAGTAGACTGGTCTCACATGCATATAGGGAATTAATTTTAATCTCGGGTATACTTGGTGTTTTCCTGCTCTCAAAAACGTCATTTGCCTCTGGTAATTATCATTTCCAAAAAAAAAACAAAAAAAAGTGAAAGACAAAAAACAAAGTATACAAATTTTATTTCAAATTTTATACAGCATCCTCTATTATATTCTGTTTTTATTTATGCCTTTGTAGAACTTCAGCAGTATTGAAATTTGAATGTTGGTACGAAAAAATGAACGGATAAGCTAAAGAAATCAAACCGTGTAACAAAAGACTGATCAGCTTTTTTTCCCCCATTCAGTTCAGTGTGGAATTATGTTACTCATCATTGTGTTTTGGGAGATAAAATCTGTTATTTTTCCAGATGCCTGTAGCAGTACTTTTTTCATACTCTGTGAACGGTTAAAGGGCCAAGACTGAAACAAACATGTTACCGATCAGCATGGCTGCCACGAACAGTTTTGAACTATTTGCCAATCAAAAGACAGACAGAGGTTTTACATGTAAGAAAACCAAAAAGAAAAAAAAAAACAGGATATGAACTTGAATGTTATGATTAGATAAAAATCACGTCATCTTTGGGAGAACTTTGGAATGCTTTCTCCTTGAATATCAATGCTTGTATGATGACAGATGGTAGTGAATGTGTGAACGTCCCACTCATCTAATGTTTACTTGTTGACTGACTTATCCAATGCAGGTGTGCAGAATGTGCTTGACTGTTTTATACAGCTGATTCCTGCTTGAATGAGTCCAAGTGGAAGAGACACACTTGGCTCTGATTTATTAAAGCAGTCAGGAATGCGATGTGAGTGTTTTTACTTTATTTTTTTTTCTCCTTATTTTGGTGCCCGAAGTTCTTCTGATTGAGTAATGGCCTTTTTACCCGACATCTGCAGTAGTGTCATAGTAAACATGAATATTATTCTGAAACTGAGCATGTGTTTGTGTGTTAAAATGAGTTGACGAGAATTGAAACGTGAAACAACGACTGTATTGAAATATATAACCCTTGTCAAAGGAGTGATTCATTTCAGAATTGGCTGCAATTTGGTGTTTGTTTGAGCCAAACGGCACATTGCTTTGACTGGTCTCACTTTGGACCCGATTGCTGATTTGAAAGCTTCACACACAAAAGTAGTAAATAGTTTTGATTGGCAAAACAATCAAATTGAGGCTTGGAACCAAAGAGATTTGTTTGGGTGCAATTCCAGCAGAAAGTTGCACAAGAATTCTAAAGTGGTTTTGTTGTTCATTAGGTGAATGTGTTTCTCAGCTTCTGTAAGGCCCTATAAAAGTGCCTGGAATTAATATAAAATCTTACCAGCACTCCAGACATTAAACTAAAATATTCCCCCTTTATCTAAAATAAAAAAAAAATGGCTATAATGCTGAAATGCATCAGTTTAATAGCAAATGAGATATACATAATATTCTTTACATTAAATGAATTTTACACAAAATTGAATCCAAATTTACTAAAACTAAAAAAGGGTTACTCCGTTGTTAAGATTGTCTTACTGGCATTGGTTTATATTGTCATTATTATATTGTAAAGTATACTCATTGTTAAACTGGGCGCTAGGGGGCGCTAACAACTGTTTTTTCGGAAAAGCTTGTCTAAGGGTAAAAAAATAAGATGAAATTCTGATAGTAAATCAATGGGATTATATAACAGTATAGCAGACTACTTACATAAAATGCATAGAAGTATCAGTTGTTATGCTATATTTCCCAATAATATGTCTTAGTAAGATGATATTTAAATGCTTAGTTTTAAACTCAAAGCTCACATTTTTTATTGTGGGGCAAAACATGTAATGCAATGCAATACAATAATGAATGAGAGATGTACAAATTGTTATTACTTCAAAGTCTTGTGCATCATATTTGATACATTTTAACATTATTTTTTTCCCTAAAAATGATTTGTTGCGTCAGTCCAGTAAGTGTTCCAACTTGAAATATTACTAATAATGTAAAATGTACTTTTACATTTACTTTATAAAAATCAGTAAAGATTTGTCATTAAAAAAAACAATATTATAACCTAAAGTTGGACAATGATAAAGTAAAAATGATACTAAAAAGTATAAGCTATAAATCAGAAGGCCTGTAGAATTTTTTTTTCTCTCGGTCTCAGTAAAGTTTTGATAATATTGCTCATTTAAAAGCCTTAATTTGTGTATCAAAGATGATACAGATATTTGCGTTTTCTTGAATATTTTTGCTGGTCAATATAAACTAATCACTGATCATGAAGCATGGATAAATAATGACTCGTTGGACAATTCTTACCATTTTATTTGTAACAAATAAAACTTTTCCAATACAATTGTATTCTCACACACCTGTTCTTACAACATAAAGTAGGAAAATTAAAAAAAGAAAACATCCTCTGAAATATTTACATTTACTACAAAATCAGAGGTAAAAGATTTCCCTTTTGTGTTTCACATTAATTGATGGGTGAAATGGTAAAACCACTCACAACGTTCGACAATATGAAAATGGTGATACAATGCATATTTGGTCAGATTACATGATACAGATTGTGCTAGTTTATTTTTCCACATGAAACAATGTCATGATTCATCAAAATCTGATGGTGCCTTCGCATCTGTACAAACTGTCATGCACTGGAAAATAGATGATTTTTAATTCATCCCCCCCAAACGCTAATTGATATCCTCTTGAAAATATAAGCATAGCTACTTTCAATGAAAGTTGAAATTTGAAAAACCCTGAAACTTGGTTGTAAAGTGTAACAATATGGAGAAAGGTAGATAATGGAAGATTTGCATGTTAGATTTCAAATACAAAACCGACTCAACTCAACTCAAAAAAAGTACACAAAGACAAAGATGCTGCAAAGAAAGGAAAATATTTCTTTACACCGAACGTAAAATGAGCTGAAGTTCGCAGTGACCAGACTTTCTTGGAATTATTGAATGATGACTATTACCACTGGACTAGAAGGAAAACCACTCATATTAAACCACCCTGTCATCTAAAGTTTTCAACAATAACAATATGCACATATTGTCTTAAGCTTTGGAACCAAAACTTGTGTTTCTCTTAATATGCACACACTGTGAAATTCATCTCATTCATTACAAATAACATTCTGTGTTGAAGAAATAGTAAGGGTTAGTGCATAGAACAAGAGTGCAGTCATATCCAAAACCATAACCATACGCCTGTTACGGTCCATGATATTGATATAGACACAATAGGGCCATTTCTATGTGCGAGTTTGTTCCCAAAGTTGTAGATCTAATTTATCATACAATGTTTTATGAATCAAAATCTGGACATCAAACTTCAAGTGAAAAGTCTTTTAAAAAGTAATATTCAACTAGCTCTGGCTTTTAAAATCCCCCTTTCGAATGCGTCCTCACCGGCATGAAAAATGTTATTTTTGTTGATGTTAACACACTTAACATCATTGATACGATCACAACGCTGATAAACAAGAATGCAGACATTAACAGTTAGAAATGCATGTTTCCTGCAGCGGTATGGACTGAAAGCGAGAAAACTATTTCCTGTTCTATACTCCATTATAATTTCAAATACAAATCATTTATAATATAATCGCTATTATATATGTAATGGAATATGCCGTTCTCTTGGCCCAATATAGATACAATAAATGTGTGTCCTCAAAAATGGACACATATTGGCTTTCAGTAATATAATTGTCTAGTCATCTTGGCAGTACTTCACTTGAATGAATAAACCACCCTGGTACTTAAAATTGGTCTTGGTGTGAAATATATTATATATTAAAATTGACTCTGGAGGATGTAACTGTATTTACGTCAGGTTTATTAAGCATTATAATTTTTTTAAACATAAAAGCAGGTTCATATCCATAAATGTGGAACATTTAACATTAATAGCGAACCATTTTAAACATGTGACTATGATAAGGCACTACCAGTGTCAGATGATCCATTATGCTATTGTTTTAAAGGTGTCACCGCATGTTTAGAGGACAACATTTGATCTTCCAATCCTGATTGAAAGCATGTAAATAGTTGTTTTGGTAAGTTTAGTGAAAAAGAAAAATCCTTTTTAAATATTACTGCAATCAGTACTTTTCGTAACTTATGTGCGCTGACAAGTACCTCACTCACATAGTATAAATATCACTCAATACATTGACAATTTTTTTATATAATGTGCTAATATGCATAATAACGTTTTGTTTTATACTTTATATCATATAGGATTAATGAGACAATATAATTACAGTGAGAATATCTCTAATACTTGAGTGGTTTTAAACTTGAAGGTGCGGTTCACATTCAATATTGCACAGTTTTTGAGACAAATCTCCATTTTCAGCTTGTTATTTTTCCTTGTCTTAAATCTGTGATAGATATGGATCTATGTGTATATATCTATGTGTTTGTGCTACAGCTAAACGGACAGGATACTGGCATAAGCACCAATACTTAGGGTGTCGTTGAATTTCATTTTGTATGTATCACTTTAGTGAGTTGGTGGATCCACTATACAACTGGGGGGGGTTCTGGTGTTGATGCAAATTGTGATAAGTAAAAAAATACCATCAAACTGCTTGATTGTTGTTTCCTCCCTCGTTTTTGGTCTGTTGAATCGGTCCAGACAGCACATTGTTGGATTCCTGCGATTTTATTGGATCTGCTGGCCGGTTGCCAGAGTTTTACTCCACCTCAAATATGACTTGACTACTTTCAGCTATATGATTGGAGCTACAATTTGTTGTGACAATTCTGTATCCCAGCTGCCCTCCCTGTCTGGCTATTAAATTGTGTGCTGTCGGGAAAAATCAAACAGACTCTTGAGCTTTGGGCAACAGAAAGAGGCTGTTAGGTTGATCAGACGCAGGTCTCGGTGTGTAATGATGTGGCCCTTGGTCCAGGGGAAGGTTTTATGTTGCATAGTGATCAAAACTGCCCAGGTATTCCAGCGCTGCTCGATAGCAGAACTGGTACTGCTCCTGTGGAGGGCACACACAGACACAGAGACACACAGACACACAGACACACACACACACAAACACACACATCATTTGAGCCAAATCTCAGACTGCTGATTAGTACACTATTGAAAACTGTTTGGTAAAAAATAAAATTGCAATTTTGAGATATGAAAAGACGGTTATTAGAAATAGTCACAATTTTAAGTGACAACTGTGAGATATGAAGTTACAATTATGAGAGATAAAATCACATTTATTAGAAGTAATAAAGTCAACATTTGAAAGAAATAGTCAACTATGAGATATAAAGTCAATAATGAGAAATAAATTCATAAGTTGTAATTATGAAATATAAAGTCACAGTTGGTTGAAATAGATGCAATTATAAGCTATAAAGTAATAGCAATAAAGAGAATTATCATAACTGGAAGAAATAAAGTCAGTTATGAATATAAAGCCACAGTTGTGAGAAAGTTGCAGTTGTGAGATATAAAGTAGCAATAATAAGTAATAACACACAATTATAAGAAATAAAGTCAGAATTATGAGAAATAATTGCAATTGTGTGCTATAAATTCACATGAAAAACAAAGCTGTAATTACGAGATATAAAGTCAGAATTGTAGGGATCAGATGCAATTATGAGCAACAAAGTGGGAGAAATAATGAGAAAGTCAACTGTAAGAAATAAAATAATTATGAGATATAATGTAATAAAGAAAACTACGTGAAAGTCACAATAATTTGTAATAAAGCCACAGTTATAATGAAAAAATTGAGATATAAAGTCACAATAATGAGAAACACATGGCATGCCATTGCTCGAGACAGAGTTACAAAATACAGCAATGCTGAAAGCATTATAGACACATTTTATACTTTAATGGCGAATCAACCTATAAATGGCTTTGCATGTTCAGTTACGAAATGAAAAAGCATTTTAACATTCAACAAAATGATGTGCGGTCGTTTGAAAAATTGTTAACTTGTACTAGTCTAATGGAACTACAGAATTATGAGTAGTATGGATAGAAAGACATGAATACTGCATCATGTGGGTTGCAGTGTGCAAGCTTACCTCTGTCTGCACCATGGCTGGTCTTTGAGTGCGCAACATTTTGACAGTCTGGAAGATGTCAACCACTCCTTCATAACGCATCCTCTCCAATACTATACTTAGAGTGATAAATACACCTGTCCTCCCAACACCAGCACTGCACAGAAAATGTGACATCGAGTAATACATTAAATACAATAATGTGAATTCATTCATTTTATTTCACAGCTCTTTGTAAGACTTTGATTGGTAATTTGAATTATTAAATTTTTTTCCAATGATGACCCGAATTGCAAGCATATAATAGTAGAGTAGAGTAGAGTAGTAGCAGCGTAATTTTGACTCAAATCTATATATTTAATTTCCATTTTATTTATTTGGTAGGTAACCTTGCAATAAAAGCGAACATACAGTCAACCAGTCATTATTGCAAAATAAACCCTGACTTTATTTTGTGTCACTAAACACATAAAAGGAAAAAAAGGATAAAATCCATCGTAAATTCCTTCGCAATTATTCTCCTCACCTGCAATGTACTGTGATCGGTCCATCCTGACCAAACTGCTCTTTTGTTTTGTGCACTTGACCGATAAAATCAATGAAGCCTTCACCAGATTTTGGCACACCCTGCTCTGGCCAGTCTGTGAACTGAAACTGCCGGACTGTTCTGGATTGGCCGTCCTAGGAGCAAGAGATGCGTCATGAGAGACAGAGAGTGGCAGCATTACCAGAGGTATGCGGAGAAGTTATATAAACCATGGAATTGTATTACACTTTCATGATAGTTCCAACTAATAAATAATTTCTAATTTGCCAGCTAATGACTTTCAAGCATCATATAATGTAGTAACATTATTTAATGTTCTGAATGAAAGTTTTATAAAGTGTAAGCGAGAAAACCTAGCTTTTTTTATGCTGTAAAAATCCCTGTGCTAATGAATAATAAAAACCAATCATTTTGACTGAATCATTCAAAAGAAACGACTCAAAGCATTTAACAGAACTAATGCAAGTTATACACAAAAATTACTTTAAAAAATTTGATTTGTAGAATATGTGGCTATTACATTACAGTAGGAAAATGTATACTCACAATATAATATGTTTCCAGAATAAAAAAAAAGACTTTATTCCAGGTTTTCATGAGCATGGAAAGCTTAAAGGTTTTAATGAGTGCTTGGCATACCCTTGCATCTGTGACTTTAAACTCTCGGAGTATATACTGAGGCATGTTGTACTCCGCCATGGGATCCACCACAAAGTACTGATAGCGTGCTGACCTGTCAGATGGCCAGTACTGATGACATTTCTCCTGCATTAGAAAAACGTTCACACATTCATCAGTGGTACTATCGTTATTCAAAAGTAAAATGCAGCTGAAATTAAATATAAATATCAGACGAAAAAGTGAAACTTAAAGGGGTCCTATTATGCTTTTTCACTTTTTCAACTTTAGTTAGTCTGTAATGTTGCTGTTTGAGCATAAAAAAGATCTGCAAAGTTGCAAAGCTCAAAGTCCACTTCAAAAGGAGACATTTTATTTAACAGAAATCACGTTTCAAAAACTACAACGAACGACTCGTTTGGACTACAACGCATATTTTCCAGGATTTGTGATATCACAAATATCGACGAATGGGACGAGACTGTTCTACGACACCCCCAAAACAAAATCAAGACTTTGTAAAAGAGCATAATAGGACCCCTTAAACAACTAAGTTGAAGCACTAAACATAGTATTTGGATCTCAGTTAAAAATAAAACTAAAACATAAATATAAATAAAAACAAATGAAACCCAAATAGTCATATTTAAAAAGAACAAAAAAAAGACAAAAGCAGATAACAAAATGACTACAAATTAAAATGAAAACTGAAAATAAAAACATAAAAGCTAATTTAAAATATTTATAAATTGTATATAAATACTAAGATAACACTGATTAGCAACCAATCACAGTAAACACCACTGACGTGTATGTGTGTATGTGAACTAACCCTTCCCATTTCTCTGAGTTTAGTAAGCATAACTACTATAGTAGAATTATGTTCCCAAAGCATTCGCCAGTAATCTTCAACTGTCTCCGCCAACGGCCCCTGAGTCGCAATATACGCCCTCTGTTGCCTAGAGTGACGAGAAGGAAATAAAAACGTCAAGAACTGAGATTTTCACCAGCTTTCTTGCAAATGTTGATGTGTACTTGTTTTGTGGATGTGCTGTTTTATTTTTACTAATACATCTATAAAAAAGAGAGATCACAATGTACCTGTAGCCATCTATAAAACTGCCATTGACATAGTCTGAGCCCTCCACTCCTCTGATTGGCTGCAGACACACACGTGTGGTCTCATATGGCATGATATTTACCAATCGGTTTTTGAACTTATTGCACGGAAGGCTGGCACTGACGAATCGGGAGTTATGCGCTTTGGCATTAGCTAAGCGCTGAAAAGGATACAGAAAAAAGAAATAAACAACATTTAAATTTTATGAACAGGCTAATTACAAAGCAACATACAACTGCCAGCAACAGGAGACAATAGAGTATTTTATATATTATTTATAAGACAAATGGAACTAATGAAAAAGCTGTAACAGTGTTGTGGTCTGTTCCTTTTAAAATGTATATTTTTATTCACTTTTTTCAGTTTTTACTGTTTTAACTGTTACAGTTTCAGTTAATTTGTTACTGAAAAAAGTAACAAATATATGTTACATTCGTGGGAAGTACTGACTTTAAATTCCTGCTCCATTCCGCTGATGTGCTCCGGCGGTTCTGTCTGTGACAGTCTCTGGATGTAGGCATAAAGATTCCGTGCCGGAACCTCTGTGTTGCCGCAGGAAATAGCCTCCAGCAGTGCATCATAAATAAAGACGTACTGCTCCTCTGTCTGCACCATGTAGTTTCGCTGAGATCGCATCAGAGTCACATGACCATAAATATCTATCGTCTTCTCCTGCTTCACACGCTCCAACATGGCATCAATCACAATGAAGCAGCCCGTTCGGCCCACACCAGCACTGAGAGAGAGAGAGAATGCTTGTCACAAGCACTCAAATTAGCGTATATTCCAGCATAATGGTTGTATAAAAATTACTGATGTGTGAAAATGATTTAGCGATATTCTCTCACTGAACAGTTTCATAGAATAAAATCATTAGACAGATATAGACAAATATATATATTGAAATTATATACATTTTTATTTAATTTAATTATTAATTATGTTATATTTTAAAGTGCCCCTATTATGGATTTTTGAAAATGACCTTTCATGCAGTGTGTAACAGCTCTAAGTGAATGAAAACATCCTGCAAAGTTTTAAATCTGAAAGTGCACCGTGTATAAAGTTATTGTCTCTCAAAAGAAAGAGTCGACTCTGAATCATTGAAATTAATAGTTTTTAAAACGAATCCCAAGCCGTTTCATGCTGACGTCAACATGAAACATTAGCATATTGCCTGCCCACTTGTTGGTCTTTTAGCGTTGGTTGAATGAAAATGCTAATTCATTCTTTACCACTAGGTGCCGCTTTTGGAGCGTAAAAATAGCGGTTTCCCCGGTAACGCTGTACATAAAGCAGCACTGCGCTCACAAACGCTGCTTTATCAGGCATTACAGGCATGATGAAATGAAACTGAAATCGACCAATCGCCAATCGGACCAATCATCGCAGATTAGCTTCACGCAAAGGAGGGGTTTGGAAAAATGAATCGTTAAACGAATCGTTTGGGAGTCGTTGAGCAAATAAGGTATATAAGACAATGAAAGTGTTTTTTGACCTTCCATGCATGTCAACCTGTTGTTGGGGACTCCCAAAACCAAAATATGAACCTTTCATTACCAATAATAGGGGCACTTTAAAATCATTATTTGATTATTATTATTATTTTTCTTTATTTTCTGTATGCATTTTACCTCTACTGTTATAAATGCTGGGCTTTTGTTTTGTTTTGTTTATAAGTGGGTAAAATGTTAATGAAAAAGATGAAATAGTAAAAACATTATTTGACTTATTTAATAGAAAGAAAACTCAAAAATTACCTATACTGACCCTGTAAAAAATCAACAAAAATTGGAAAAAGAGAACATTCTTCAAATTTATAGTTATGTTGCAAGCAAGTGTTTGCGAGGAAGTTAATCAGTAGATGAGAACCACAGGAAAGAGTTGGGGGGAGCTTTCTCATAGTTTTAAGAAGTTTAATGTTTTTACTGTAAATCTTTTATTTCTCATATGTGGTTTTATGTCATTTATTTTCCCTGTGTCAGTTAATTTGTAAAAACCTTGCATGTATATACTGTAGTAATGTTGCTTTGTTGTGTCTAAGCAAAATAAAACACACACAAAAACACTCAGACTCCACAAAAAGCTGCAACTCAATTCTGTGTGATATAACACCAATTTTATATAATCAACACAATTTAGGCCAATGATTCGATACTTTCTACAGAGTAAGAGCACATTTCATTGGTACAGAATGAAACTTAACAAGTTTCTCAGAATCTTTCCCTGTCATGTCTGACTGGATATAAATGTGTTTGCTCAATTCTGTACGAGTTACCTGCAGTGGACCACAATAGGTCCAGCGTCTGGGGGATTGCAGGCTTTGACCCGTCTGAGGAAGGCCAGGAAGGGAGTGGGTTGTTCAGGTACCCCCTGATCTGGCCATGCTGTAAACTGGAACTGACGCACCTCCCTTTTCTCGCCACTCCCACTCTGCACATAGAAACAACACAATTCAGCACAGTACAGTACCATATACTAAAATAGACTACACTAGACTAGAATAGAAGATGTCAGAGAATGCTTCTCATTCAAGCACCAATGTTATTTTATTCAATATATTTCCCATCAAATGTGTATTCAATGTGTACTCAATATTTAGCACACAAAGCACAATAACAGTGACAAACTAAAAAACAAAAAAAACATGACAAATAATTGAAACGGTTGACAACTACAGCAACAACACCATAAATAAAAGCCGCAAATATCAAAATAACAAATGCATAATTTTTTTTACTCTTTTGCATGATTTTCTCAAGAAAATCAGACATTGCCAAGGAGATGAAGATGTCAGTGAACATTTCATCTGCAAAACTTTCTGCAAATATCTGCTCTTTAAGAGGTATGTGTATATAGTTATTATATTTGTTTATTTTCAATATATGCTGTGATTCTATACTGTATATGTTGTATTTAAAGGGGTCATATGATGCCCATTTTCCACAAGTTGATATGATTCTTTAGTGTCTTAATGAAAAGTCTGTAACATAGTTTGGTTAAAATTTCTCAATGGTAGTGTAAAAACACCTTTTTTTCCCTGCTATAAGTAATTTTGCAAGTACATGTCAACTTATTCTACTAACCATAAACTTATCCTTATCCTTCTAGTCTTAAGTATACTAACATTTTAATAAGAGTTAGTGAACATGTAATTCCAATGTTACTTATAGTTAATAGAATGTACTTTTAATAATGTCACACAGCAGGACTATTTTACTGAATTAAAAAAAAAAAACAAAAAAAAAACAAAACAAAAAAAGAGTTAAAATGTGAATAAATGATGGGAAAAAAAGTTATAGTACCAAATTTTCTCATTCACTTTCTCATAACTGTTAAAAATGTTGTGTTTTATGTTATGACAATGTTCACACCAGTGAGGCATATTTCATGAAATTGTCAAGGTTCTAAAAAACCTATGGATCGACCCTGCCATTAGGTTACCTTTGGGAGTGTAAAAATGTGTTTTCACTGCTGCTTCATTACCTTAAAAAGAGCAAAAGTCCTGACGCAGTAGGTCGCGAGCTCCACTGTGTCCAGTAAATTGACTTGCATCAATCCGTACGTCTCTGTGCCTCTGCTGGGCCAGTACTGATCGCATTTATTCTGCACACAGTTCAGCAGACACTTAGTAAACCTCTCACAGCTGCATATGTCTCAATGTCAAAGGAGACATTAGAGGAGAGCTGAAGAACCAGCTGAGATCAACGCTGACAGTCAGCTGCTCTTCAGCTTGGCTGCTTTCCATCAACAACAGTACTCACATGGTTATGTGTCAGTCCGCTTCCTAGTCCACTAGTAATTACACTACCAAGGGAGTGGGCTGCCTCATTAGCCGGGTTTCCATCCAAAGTTGCGAATTTAATTTATGCGCAAAACTGGAATATCGCATAAAACATTTGCGAACAAGCATTGTTTCCATCCAACAAGTCAAAGAGAACAAAATCGTCACTTCCTGATAAACTGCCACTATAAATCACTAAGAAAAGTAGGAGAATATAATCATTTTCATATATAATAATAAATTACTTGCGCCTCAGAGAGAGCAGATGAAACACAATGAATGCCGTCATTGCTTTCGGAGGTGGATGCTGCTGTTTGGGAATGCAGTCGTGTAAGACATTTCTGGGAGGCAATTATACAGAAATACTTTGATGACAGACTGCTCGTGCATTTCCGAATGACCATAACAACATTTCAGATGCTGTGGAATGAGATCGGTCCGCTGGTTAGTCAGGTTTTGCCATCCCATAGCGCAGTCACATGACTTTTTTGATGCACTTGGAGGAATTTATTATTGTCAAAATCATTCCAGTGCACTGAACAGTTCACTCCCTAGAAATCAGCAGAATGCCTTTTAACCTATTTTTACTAATTCCCACCAAAGAGAACTAGGGAATAGACTGAGACACACCCTTTGAGAGTACATTTCAGCATGCAGTGAGAGTGTGATAACCAGCCAAAAATTCAAGTTACACTTTGGCGAAATGTGTCTCAGAAGTCAGTGAGGGAAAGAGGAAGCGAGAAGACACAGATCAGAAAAAGAGAGAGTGGGTGTTAAAAAAGGGATGAGGCAGAGTTAACAAGGAGGAAAGAGGTGAGACACGGAATATCAACCATTCAAGTGAAAAGTGACAGTGGTCTAATTAGCCAAGTGAGACGTCTTGCCTTTGAGAAGAAATACGAAGGCATCTGGAGAGTAACAGACAAACAGCATAAGACTTACTCTGCTCCGTAACACCACACAACAGACTCACTGAGAAATATGGAAAATATCACTGTGTTTGATCAAAAAGTTAGTATGGTTAGTATGTGTGTGTGTGTGTGTGTTTATGAGTTTGATTAAGTGTTGTAGTGTCTCAGTAGTTCTGTTTCAAAACCCAGCCAGTTGCCTACCTAAACAGCATTTTAAGCATCCTGATGCAAACACTGTTTGAAATTTTAATGTAACAAATTTTAGTTCATCTAACATTTTTGGTGGGCTGCATAAATGCCCATAGCTTTTGAAAATCTGATTTAAAAAAAAAAGATATATTGCAGACAAAAATAAGATTTTGACAAGGAATCAATTGTTCATGCTGTTCTTGCAGAACATTTGTAGTTCCACTGCAGTAGTGCATATAATAATTGTATAGACAATTTATAGACAAACAATTAGAAAAGTACAAATCAAAAATGCTCAGAATGCCAACAATTTCTGACATGGTTTTGAATCTATTATATCCTGCGTGGGGTCAGGAACAGTGAAATCAATCAGTAACATTAACGTCTCTTTCATGTCTACACTCAACTATTGTTCTTCACAGAAGACAGATCATGTGAGCTCCACTGACTTTACTCACACTGGTAGTCGACTAGGGTGACCATACATACTCTTTTTCTTGGACATGTCCTTGCCAGTATTTCAAAATTGCCTAAAATGTTTCGGTTTTGACTTTGCTTTCCTATTGTTTCCATTCTTGGTGAAGGTAATAACTGTCAATTAGTATGACCAAGAGCGTGCATGCATTGTAAATAAGTGACCGATCATGTCGCTGCCTATAGTAGACAGCAAGGATGCTTACTAGATTTTGGAAATGTGTTTCTGTCTGGAAATGTATGACTGCACATGACTTGAGTGTGGTCTGTATTTGTATGATTTAGTGCTCTCACCCTGGATTTCTCCTCAAGTTTGGTGATCATGATGATATTTGCTGTGTGTTGTTCCCACACCATTCTCCAGAAGTCACTAAACGTGTCTGGCATGGGGCCCTGGGTGGCGACGTATGCGCCCTGTCGGCGGTACCCGTCTATGAAGTTGGCATTGATGTAGTCACCGCCAGGAACACCTGCATAACAAGAGAGAATGACAAACACTTCATCACTTTCAAACTGACAAGAGAAAAAAAACTAAATGCTCTTCATAAATAAATTTGGGAGTAAATAAAAGATTGAATTCAGTTCCATTAGTAGTGTGTCGGATCTAATATTTCAAAATGACGAAGCAGCATCAGAGCCGAAATTTAGCACAGTTGCACTTCGGGCAACCCGAGTTTGAGTCCCATCTTGATGCCATCCCTCTCTGTCCACCAATTTGCTTCCTGTCTATCTATACTGTCCTATCGCAATAAAGCAAAAATGCCAAAAAATAATAAAATAAAAAAGGGAAGAAACTGAACAAATCAAACAGCTCAAAAATAAACAATATAAGGTATATTAGCTGGACAAAGCTCTTAACTTCTGAAAATTTATCAGAAGTGATCCTGTCAGTGTTATTTTAGTATTATTTCTATACTATTATAGCACTTATTCAAATTTTAGCTTTAGAATTGTAGCTTTTTTAAGTGTTTATTTTTATGTTTTGTCATCATATTGTATAATATTTGAGTAATTTTGCTATGCGCTTTTTATTTTTTTAAATATTTCTTTTTAATATTTATGTTTTAGTTTTAGTAATTTTACTACTAACTTATTTCAGTTTGTTTTCAAGATAATTATGTTGGCAGCATTCAAGTTTTTTAAGTTTATCTAAAATGTGTATTTTATTTCAGCTTTATTTTATGTACCAAAAAAAATTAAGTTTTAGTTTACAATAATAACACTGGTACAGTTATGTGTACATTTAGAGATAACAAGCAGCAATGGTGCAAGATGCAATAAATGTGAATGGGTAACAACTTTCTCTTAGTTGATTTCCCATGACGATACCCCTTTAAGATTAAAAATGTGTTATTTCTCATGAATACAGACATAGAAAAAGCAATATTGACATACTGAGCACACGCAATCTCACCATCATTGTTGGAAAGTGCTATTCTGGTGTGGTCGTAGGCGATGACGTTGGCATATCTGTTCTTTGGCTTGTTAATCTCAAGGTTAGAATGTTCCCATGAGAACTGCTGCCCTGGATCAATAGACTACAAGAGAGATGCACGCCATGAATTACACATCACACTGGACAAGCCCCATACTGCACTTCACATGTTATAAACATCACATGGCCTATGCATTGAAATTAGTGCTCACACAACAGAAGTACATAAAAAAGAACTCAAAGCATGTTATAGTATGCTGAAAATGTGGGGCTAATATACATCATTCACTGGCCAATATGTTTTTAATGTACACCCGTGGGGTGTGAATGTAAGTGCGTTTATGTGAGAGATCTGACCTCATACTCTTGAGAGAACCTCAGGTTGTCATTGGCTTTCAGCCTCTCTATGTGAGCTGGTAGTTCTGAGACGGACACTGGAGGGTGGGTGGTCATGCCTGTCAAACACATCACACAATCACATCAGTTCAGACCCTGAGAACACGGCACGCTGCTGGACTGAGCGCTCTGAGCAGTGTGAGAGAATGTTAGTGATCTCATCTATGTTTTAGCACTAGGGTTCATGAGTTTATGTGTTTTGAGGAGAAAACTGCTAAAAGAATATCACCAGAAGTTAACCTTGTAAAGCCTGATATATGAATTTTTTTTTTTTGAATGGAACAGTTTATTGGAACTTTAGACAATGAATTAATGTGTTTTTGCCTATCAGGCTTTTATGGCTTATAGAGTATGAAATAAAGAGAATTTGGAGCTCATACTGAGGAGGGAAAAAACACCTCAATTTTATTCAGAGGCCCAAACTGAGCATATTTGGTGCAATTGCTGATATTTGTATGGCCAGAAAATAATATGAATGTCTGCATGTAATGTAAATCAATGAGATCTTTATGACAATATAGCAGACTACCTATTTAAAATACATATACAGTAAATACCAGTTGTCACTCTATATTTCACAATAATGTCTTATTAAAGTGATATTTAAATTAATGCTGGCAAAATTATTAATCACGATTAATTGTATTCAAAAGAAAAGTTTGTGTTTACATAATGTGTGTGTGTGTGTACTGTGCATATTTATATCATATATAAATACACACATACATGTATTTATTTAAGAAATATATGATATATATATATATATATATATATATATATATATGCACACATGTAAATTTTTCTTAAATATATTTATATACATAAAAATATACACAGTACACAAACACACACATATATATTAAGTAAACACAAACTTTTATTTTTTATGCAATTAATCGTGATTAATCGGGTTGACAGTCTCATTTAAATTCTTAATTTTATGATCAAAGCTCTATATTTTTGGGGGTTATAGTTGTGGACATATAATGGAACATAAAATATTTGACACTCACGTCTTAGCATGATATTTTTTTTTTTTAAGTTGCATGGATAAAGTTGCTTTAGTCCAGTAAGTGTTCATCTTGATACTTTACCAAGTTATTCTCACGTTTACTTAATAAAAATCAGTAAAGATTTCACAGCAAATAGAAACATATACCAGTTTTTCAGTTTTGATTATTTTAAACTCGTTGCTAATTTAGAGGCCTTAGAAATGTATGTATCAAAAATGATACAGTAGACTTTTACAGTAGGTTACAGACTTTTACTTTTACAGTAGATTAAATCTAATGTAACCTCATTTTAGGGTGTTTTCAAAAGTGAAAAGTTCTCAGAAAAAGACATAATGCTATTTTATTCTTAAAATATTATTGGGGGGGGGGTTAGTTTGTATTGTAGTTGTTTGTACCCAGATAGCAAAACCATTGATTCACAACAGGCAAATACAAAATTTGACTCTCCTTTAATCATTTTCTAAATGTAATAATACTGAAGGTTTAGACCAATCTAAATAGAATGGCCATTTGTGAATGGTTGTACTTTCAGTTGGATACTATATATTTAATGTTTTATACATTTAATGTCCATATAAAAAATAACTGATCAATAATTAAAAGCTCACAAAATGTAAGATTGTCATGTTTACACTATACGATACACTAGGCATCTATTAACTAAAAAAAAAAAGTATCATATTATTTAAAAATAATTGTTTATATTGTAGTCTGTAGGTTATTGAAAATGCAGGGAATGTAAGTTTTTACCTACATACACAAATGTTATATCTAAGTAAACAGCCTCACAGAAAACTTTTAAATTATTTCATGATATATAACTTATTTTTGATTGTGGGAGGGGACTGGTCTCCACCCAGACAGATATTCATATCCCACTCTAACATTTCTATAAATAAAATCTGAACTATACTGAATGTGCACAGGAGAGGGTATAGATTACAAGACAGTCAGAAGTATTAAGCAAGATGAAATAAACAATGAAACAGCTGAATCAGATCAAATTAAACAAAGCAGAAATCAATATTGCTGCATTTAGAATATCACTGAGAAGAGTTCATTTCATGTCTGCAATAGTTGCCTGTTCCAACAAATTCAAGATCAACATTGATTCAACACTGAATTACTATAATCTCTGATATATTGTGTTTTATTTAAAAACATCTCTGGTGTGTCCCCATTTAGAGAGCTAGCTGTAATTGTATGAGTGTCTGTGTGTAGATCAGTTTTCGCCATTATCGTGGGGACTAAATCTCCCCACAAGGAGGGCAAGGAAACATCTTAATAAACACTAAAAATGTCTTAATGAAAATCTAAAAATGCAGAAAGTTTGTGTGAGGGTTTAGAGGTTAGGAGATTAGAAAATATTATTAGCTAAATATAAAACAGGGAAGACAATGGAAAGTTCAACATGATTGAAAGTGTGTATGTATGAGTGTTTGCTGGTGTGTGTGAGCTAGTTGTGACGTCAATCAGAGCAGAGAGAGAAAAGCTTCACAAGCTGCAGCACGTGTTCACATACAACCCTGTTATGAGCCAAATGAGTTAAGAGGATGAAAATGCCAAACCGGTTACTGCATAAATATGAATGGGGTTAAACAGTCAATATAGACTTCAAAAACCAAAACTAACTTGATAACCGTCGATAACCGATGATAGATGCACGCAAACCTAGAAAAGAGACAACACTGTGTTGATACCGACAGTGTGTGTGCATCAAAGGGGCACTGAAAGTTGATTCTTGAGCACTCTGTACCTGTATGTGAGTGTGTTTGTGACATGTCTTTTCATCAGCATATTACCAGCCGTTGGGAAGTTGATTCTACGCAGCTCCACTGGGTCAGATGGATGCTGGGAACTCATGGCTTTACTGCTGCTGGGAAAGCTGCACTTCCTGCCCTCCAGCTCTGCCCGCTTCCTGTAACATCACACATGCAGGAGCATTAAAGCAACACTCACTTAGTAGGAAATAGTTTATATTGCATTTCGGTCGTAATTAGATTTAGAGAGAAACATAATACACAGACCTGTCTGGTTTGCTGGTTTGTGCACAGATAAATCGAGGGAAGAAAAAAAGAATTAGGGATAAATAAAATCAGCTTCTGCAGAAGTAAAATATAAAGCATCTATCATTTTTATTCCTTTGCTTATTTCCCTCTCATTCTTTTCAATTTTCATTCAAATGAATGAACAATTTAGGCTAATTTGTGAATCGTTCAAGAGATTCATTCAAAAGGACTGACTCTAATGAATGATTCACTCACAAAAAAACTCCATGGTTTTAAGTTTAACTCTACACAAGCAATATCTAGAAGATACAACAAGTTAGAATGTATTTTCACCATAGATCTATGATTTTTCCATTTTAAATGTTTCAATTCCCTGGTTTTTCATGAATGTGTCACTTAATTTCTTCATCCCTTTGATGTCATTTAATCTACATTCAAATCATCAAATTCTCAATCATTTTCTGCTCAATTCTCTTTCTCTCTCACCTTTTAAAGAGGAGGATGAGGATGACAATGCTGATAATGAAAATGACCGCCAGCACTGGCCCCACCACCCATAGAAGCCCCTCCTCCTCGTCAACGATTGGCTGTGGCTCAACATCGGAGAACAGCACGGCATCAGAGAATGGACTCGTGGAGTACACGGTCTGTCAATCAAAAATATGCATTTTAAGTTTTGCCCCCACATTTTCTGTTGAATGTCACAATGCCTGCTTTAAAAAAAACAGTACAACATAATCTCCTTTACTAAATGTTTCAAACTAAGCTATGTTTTTCTCAGAAATGATTCGCTCACACAATGATTATTTAACACAGTATATCTAATCACTACATTTTCATAATGGACCCCAAGATACTCTAACATGAGAGAGAAAAGAAGAACTTACATTCTGGCCCAGTTCAAGAATAGCCAGCACGAAGCACACATACTCCTGTCCGTTTACAAGTGGCCGGTTTAGGAATGCTCCATACACACGTCCATCTCCTAGTTTGAATTCAGCTGGAAGATTCTGGAAATGAGCGCTGATGTATGTTTTTGCCTCCGCCTGCCTCCGTAGACGCACAGAGCGACCAGTGCCATTAATCTCCCTCAGCAGCTAGAGAAACCAGAAAACAGACAAGCGCATGACACTAAGTTAATCACAACAGACACTGCAACTACCCTGTGTTGAACCAACATGTGCTTTAAACTTTGAACAGCTTTTTCAACAACGACAGTGAACAACTTGATGAAAATTGTACAAAATTACAACATCTGCAACTCAATTACAAACATTTTATTACCTCATCAATGTTTATCTCATCTGGATCACTCCATAAATTCTGGAAGTTTCCTCCTCTCTGCCTCTTCAGGGGGACAACCACAATGTAGAAACCCCTTTCAATAAAAAGATGATATTAATTATTATGGGTGAATTTCATAAAGAAAAGTCTGGGTTTGCTTTTTGCTCCAAAAAAAAACAAAGAAAAATGTTTGCACTGTAAAACTGAATGCTGAAAATTCTTTTGCCATCACAGGAATAAATTACATCAAATATCTATTATTATAATAATATTAAAACAGGAAACAGTTATTTTAAATTGTATTACCCTATTGAAAAATAAATATACTAAAATGTAGATGAAATACATTTATTTCATGCTAAGTATACTACAAATACATTTACATATTTATGTACTTAATAAAAATACCCTGCAATTGTACTTAGTATACTAAACTGGTATACTTGAAGTCTGCTAAATTGGAACAACTAATTTTGTACTTAATGCATTTTAATTGTGCGGAAGTAGTGCTGAAGTCCAACTAAAGATATACTGAAGTATATTTGATTGTGCTAAAGTGGAACTATTGCAAGTATACTTTAGGTACTCTTTAAATATCTTGCATTTAAAGACTTATTATTCAAAGATCATACAATCTTCATCAATAGTGACACTAAAAAACATTTTATGCTTAATATAAAAAAAAAATGTGCATTGTACACAAGTAGTACTCCAAATAAAGTTTTATCATAATTTTTATATCAGTAAGTCTTGAGCGATATGTCAGTATGTCAGTGTTAATAGATTTGAACCATACTTAGTATGAAATGAATGTATTATATATATATATTACTTTTTTATTAGGGTAATCTTTCACAATATTATTTTTACAGAAATTTTGATCAAATAAATGCAGCCTCTGTGAATTTTTGAGTTTAGAATTCCGAGACCACAATGGAAATCTGGAAATCTAAATTAGACCTGAACAGTTCAAAGTAAGTCAAATTTGAAGCTTTTAATAAATCCCACCCTCTATTTTCATTGGTGTATTCCTGACCTGACATTAGCCTGTCCCTGGACAGGGGGCAGTTGCAGGGTAGCGATGCTCTGAGAGCTGGTCTTGTCCAGCACCTGGGGTTTCCTAGTCAGCAGGTTTGGAGCTGTCATGGCATCTGCACTGTGCTGCAGGCCCCCAGTGCCATCAGCTCTACTAGTTAACATGAAAGTGTAGAGAGACTGGGGCTTCAGCTTAGTCACCAACTTCTGCCCGAGCCGCCCATCCACCTCCACACTCTCACCATCACCATATGAGATCTGAGAGAGAAGCAGAAAATAGAAAAGCAAACAAACGTAAACTGCACACTTAACCAGCCAAGACTATGCACATCTTGTGGCACGCACACATTCGAGGAGGGCAGAAAGAGATTAAGACTGACACCTCAGACACTTGCTAAATGCGCACGCACACATTTATACAAACACTGTCATACACAATTCCATCTCAATATGTTGCATGAAGGGTGGCGATGGAGGAACAACACACACTCACACCTACATGTTTGCTTTTATACTGAGTTAATGATATCTTCTGTCATCTAAGCCAGTGATTCTCAACCAGGGGTCCATATTTAAAAAAGACAAAACATGCTTTAAAATAAAAAAAGACCCCGCAAAAAAACATCAGATTTCTTATTTTAATTAATTCTCTCAACAATTTTAGACGAGGGATCCCACGGTCATGGAAAATATATGAGGGAATTTTAGAAGTGTGATTTCTAGACCTGGAAAAGTCATGAAAATACACTAAATCTATTTTTTTTTTTGGTGATCAAATTTTTTATTCAGATTTAGTTTCACATCAGAAACATATATGATGGTTCCAATAAACTATGTACAAATAGATGCCATGAAGCTGTCCACTTGTAAACTAAATCTAATTTTTTCTAGTTACATTAACGGGGTCATATGATGCTTTTTTAAAGATCATTATTTTGTGTATTTGGTGTAACAGAATATGCTGACATGCTTTAATGTTCAAAAAACACATTATTTTTCAAATACTGTACATTATTGTAGGTCCTCTATGCCCCTGAAACCACGCCTTCTTTCTTTGCGTGAACATTTGGGCGGCATTATGCTAATATTTCCACATAGTGAGGTAGATATGTGGGGGCGTGTTAGAACGAGCCGTTTTAGGGGGGCGTGGCAGAGTCTTAACTTTGATAAAGAATATTTCTTTGGATTTGAGACTTTAGTCTTTGCAACTTCAGGGATCTTATCTATGCACAATCAGCTTGTAACACTCCAAAGAGAAAGGAAAACTTGAAATCGCATCATATGACCCCTTTAAGTTCTAAAATATTTTATCATGTAGAAACAACTGAGAAACTGCAATTTTTGAGTAATTGAGTTTTTTTTTTTATCTTGAAAAGTAATGTACATTTCTATAGTTTCTAAAAGTGTGAACCCTGAAAAACATTCAGTTCTTGAAACATCTAGAATTACTGAAGCTATTTTAATTAATTATTTTATGCTAATATATTGCCACTCCTAGTTTGTGTAAATAAAAACATCTGAAAACAAGCAGCTTGACAATTGACAGACAATTGAAAAACTCCTATTATATAAACCCATACTTATAAACCCATTAGTCGTCCAGGTTTTGATGTCATGGTGGCTTTTGGAGTCAAAAAGTTTGAGAACCACATCCCTAACCTTTAAACACATTAATTTATTTCAACAAAACCAGACTCATGCTCTCACATACACGCAGCAAAGTACTGTATTTCGCAGTACTTACAATAAGAGAATGTGCTTTATTACTGGTGGTTCGTGACTCCCAGGTCAGCAGCACTGAACTCTTCATAGCAGCTTTCACTCTGAAGTTCACAGCAAACACTATTAAAGAGAGAGAGAAAACAAAACAAAACAAGAGATCAACACATCACACATCAATACTTCAGCTCACCTGAGCAGAACCTCTGGCCTCCAGCATTGCTAAAGCATTTATGAAGAACATCAAAGAATCCTTTCAACTGTTTCTACTAAAAACATTTACCACATCAGGCTGTTATCCGTAAAGGGTGCACAGACAGAGCCGCCAGGAGAAAAAAGAGCTAGTAAGTTACTTTTTCTCATAGTGCTGACAAGAATTCATCACTCTTTTCTAAAGGCTCACCTTTACCATAGTTGTCTTATGAGATAATGGAGCACTCCACATTCACCTAGATCCATTTACAGAAAGATTCTCACCTTTTATCTGCACTTAATGGATGCCACCGAACAAGAGATTCAGACCAACAAACACAGACAAAAAATGACCAGACATAAACAGAAAATATCCTTCTAGAGTAATGAAAATGTAGTGGTTTTGATTAGGAAGGCTTGCCTGACAGTAAATGTTTGTGTGTGAGAAGGATACACATGAGTCCTACCTTCCTGTGCTGGTTGTGTTTTGATGGATATAGGGAGACTATAGGGCCCAGGGCCATGTTTGCTAAGCATGCACACTCTCGCCACATACTCAGTATTTGGCCTTAGGCCATTAAGAACCACTGTGGCCTCCGAAACGTCTGATTCCATGGCAATGTCCGTGCCATTACTATAGGTGACAGCGAACCACACACGGTAACCTTGGATCCGGTCATAGTTTTTTGGTCGCTCCCATCTCAGGATCACAGAAGAGGAGTTGATGTCTTCGGCTGTTAAGTTAGCCAAAAGCGGAACTGTTTCCTGTACGCTCACATTTAAAGCATCTGTTGTCCCTGGGGCTGTTACCATGTCGTCTGTGGTTGTCTGCACCATGTATGGTGTTAAAAGTGTGACCTGAGCGCTTGAACCGTAACCCCAGATGGTACGGACGGCCAGACGGAACACGTACAGCACCCCTGCGCTCAAAGATGGTGCGTTTATCTCTTGCACCATGAAGGAGTCTGAGGTCAGGTCAGCCTGGCCATATGAGAGCCTGTAGCCCAGCACAGGGGACAGACCAGCAGGAGGAGGCTGCCATTTCAGCAGGGCAGTGCCATCTTCAGATGGCGCAACTGTAAGCAGGGGCATACCTGGCACTGTGGAATAGAAAATAATACTGTAGATCAACACTACATATGTAGCACTGCAGATAAGATATGTGTAGGGTTAAGTGATACACTTCAATGATTAGTTCACCCAAAAAGGAAAATGAAAAGACGTTCTTGTGCAATACACAAAAGAACAAAGTTTCAATGTTCTTTTCCATGGAATTACAATGAACAGGGACTAAAGATTTCAACCTTTAAAAATGACTCACTGAAATCCCCAGATGAATGAATTCACTGGAAATCTTGACATTCACCATAGCGTTAATAAGAGAAACACTCTTTTGAGTGAATTGTTTGATCCGGTCACAAATGGGTTGAATTGAAACGTCACAGACTCAATATTAAGTGATATTCACTAAAAATCTTGACATCCACCATAGTTTTTTAAGTGAATAGAAGTTCACGATATCGGTCTGAATGTTTCGTTTAATGATCCAAAAGTTGAACTTGCACCTTATTATTCAAAAAGTTGAAATAATTTTGAGTCAGATCTTTTCAGTGAATCATTTGATCTGGCTCACAAAATTGGCCTGAATGATTCGTTTATACATCAAAGACCTTATCATTCGAAAAGCTGAACTCATTCAGTGATATTCACTCTTGACATCCACCATTGCTTTCCTTGGCACATTTTTGAAAAGTGCAGAAGAGCAATCCTTTAAATTGTCTCCCTTAGTGTTCTATATAATAAAACGAAGTCATGCAGGTTTGGAATGACATGAGGGTAAGTAAAATATTTTCATTTTTGGGTGACCTTTCTCTTTAACATTGAGATAAACATAAAAACAAGTGTATATACCAATGCATTAGCATGTATGTATGTTGGAGTGTGTACACACATGATGGTTTAGTTCTGATGGCTGTAGGTTTGCTACGTGCTCCATTGCCTTTTGAGTTGAATGCAGCCACAGTCACAGAGTATTCAGTGTTCGGCCATAAACCAGTCAAAATTAGGTCCTAATAAACAAATATACATTTTACCATAACACTAATTCAACAAAAAGAAAAAAAAAATCAAAGAAATCAAATGTTCTGTAATACCGCACCACATAATCTGTATTCATATCAGAGACTGAGTAAGTGTTGCAAAATTAATAGGAGAAATCACAATGCTCAATATGGCGGCGAATGTATGTCCAGCTTTTTTGTTAAAGGAGTCAATAACATTTTGATTGAGACACTGTCTGTTTTACTTTAGTACAGTATGTGCAAACACATTAGCTGGACTGGCATGAGTTTTTTTTTTAACTATGATTTGAGCTAAAGAATCAACTTTTTTATATCATTGATTTGATTTGACTCTTGACAAACAGACTACATTTTTTATCCACTCAGGTATATTTCTATTCATGCCTACTGCCTAGATAAAATAAATCTGCCTGAAGGCATAACCAAGATAGCCGCAAAGTGAATTGATTTGCCTCAAAGGGACTTTGATTCATGTAAATATATGCATTCAAATTCTGGGTCATGTTCAAAGTAGATATACTCACATATTGTTTCGAGTCGTTCTGTGGCTGTTTACAAAAACAAGACATAAATAGTTAAAATTGATGTGAATGCCAAGATGTAATATGATTATTCGCAACAACACAATGAATAAAGGTCTATTAAGAATAAATAGCGTGAAAGGTTCACTGGGACAATTACATGGTGGTTTTAAGGCTCTTAGTTTTTGAGATAGTTATCAGAGGTTCTGTCTCAGCATGCGGATAATAAGCAGATACTGATGTTATCTGATGATTTAGGCTAAATTAAAGTCCATTTAGAAAGCAGTAGCTGAGCTAAGAAGCCTAATTACTGACAAACAAACAACTCATTCAGATCAAGTGATAGCTGGGATCTGCATCATATTTCTAATATATGTGAGTGATTCTTCGATTAGCAGCACTACTTGAAACCTTGAAAAATAAAAACATCTTCAAACTGTTTCAACCATCACATTATCACATGTACTTGATCAAGTTCATTTTAATATGTGTGACCATGTGGATTTTTTATATTTTGTGTGATGGTAGTGACATTTTTTACATAATAGGTTGGATAAACCTTACACTTATTAACACAACAATTAGCTAGCAGTAAATTATACATTTAATTATGAGTTAATACATATGAATAAATTTTTTTTCAAATGTTTATAAATTAAAACATTCAGATACTGGCTGGTTCGGTAATGACATCCTGTAAAAATACTCTCAGATAAGATGTAATCTCAATCATTTCTGATCTTCCAAATTTCATTTTGCTCTCATATCACTATTCATTTTCATAATAACAAAATTATTTAGATTATTTGGATTAATTAATATTTATTAATTTAAAATTTGTTGAACAAGAAACCTATAGTTGCCTTGATTAATTTATTGGCTGAATGAGGCTGTTTGTATGTGAATGAAAAATATTTAAACTGACAAAAAATAGTGTTAGGTAGGACAATCTTTAAGACAATAAAATTTAAGGCAAGACAATTGTAATACACTGTTAACCACCAAAAACAGGTGGTGATGACAAAGTAACATGAACCAATGCTCATCACAAACAGCTTTTCCACAAGCTGAGAAAGAAAATACTAACATATATAGAAGGTGCGGAGTATCATTCACACAAATACTAAACACCATAAAGGTAACACACATGATACTGAAATAAGGAAATAAATAATCATTAATTTAACATTAGATATAACATACAACCCTAATGAACATAACTGATAAGAAAAAACTAAGAAGAAACAGTTATTTAAATGAAAAACAACAAATGTGAAATGTAACTCAGGGAATTCTGGGAATATCAATTTAAGTTTTTTTCACTGTAAATAATACATTCTCTTTCACTTCCAAAAATTTTATTTTACCGTAAAATTGTTTTCACCGTATATAGTAGGGGAACTTAACGTTAACCAATTTATAGGTTTTTACTGTAACATTTTTAGTCGTTTACCGTTTGACCATTTTTTTTACAGTGCATATATATATATATATATATGTGTGTGTGTGTGTGTGTGTGACCCGTTCTGGCAAAATGAGTCGAAATGAGCAAATTTTCTAAAACGAGTTCTTTTTATGTTCACATTCTCCATTGTGAATCGGACAAAAAATGCCTAAGTTACAGCCATTTGAAGGCGATAGAGTCAGCAGAGTTGATTTTGAGAAAAATCGAGTTAAAGTTTTCTGAAGACTCCAAAGCAATATCACCAAGCAACGTTGCATATTTTCCTCCAATTCTTTTCTTAATGATAATTACTATACTATTAATCTCAATAGAGCCATTTTTAATTTTATCTTTATTAAAATTAAGAACAAAGATGCAAATAAACAGTAGTTTATTCAAGAGCAGCGAGGGACTCCGTCTTTTCTTTTAATGTTTGATTAACTTTGAGACAGATCTATATTAAGACCAGCTGTAATGCATGGATCTAATATAATGTTACACATCAGATTTTTCCCTAACAATTAACTAATCATTCATATAAGACATAACAGATTATGTTTGTGTGAATTTTGCCAAGAAATATTTCACAATAATGTACTTTATAGATGTGCTTTGCACATGTCATTCAGTGCGATCGTTTTATTTTCATCAGCATGGATTTGAAAAATCATATTTCACTGGTGTGGACTCGTGTCATCGAGAATTCGATATGAATATTCAAAAAGCAGGAATGCTTCGCTTTGCAAAAAATTGACCTACTACTTTTGGTGAGAAGCAGCAGCAGTCATCCAGAAGTGAGCAGAGAAAAAGGTACTCCTCTCAGAAAACATACAAATAAAGATCATTTTAGATGTTTAATTACTATTTGAAGCATTGGGGTCGCTAGAAGAGGGCTTAATGAACTCATTTTTGTGAAAACCTCAAATTCGACCAAAACTGACATTTTTCACTTCTTTTGCCTGTAGCTCAAAATTAGACAGTGCGCATTCTGACTCATTTTGTCAGCACGGGTCATATATTGGTGTCAAAAGAGTGAATATTGAGAGTCGTTGATATTTGAGATAAAATTATTCTTTATGTTCGTCAAAGTGAGAACAACTCAACAAAAATAAACACCCTATTTCTAAAGAAGGGTTGCAGCAATTACTGACTGAGAAGTGTATATGCGTGTGTATGTCAGTGAGGTGAAGTCTCCTACCTGCGGATCTCTCAGTAGGAGTTCCCTAATTCTGGGAGAGACTGTTCTCTCCCCTGCGGTTCGTCTGGCGTATGTCACCTGGTAACCATGAATCTTTCCATGCTGTCGCTCAGCAACTGGAGGTTTCCATGACACTCTGGCAGAGGTGGCGTTTAAGACCACCACATCCACACTCCGCGGCGGTGCGCTGGGCACTAAAGGGGCATTTTAGTAAAGGACATGTAGTCACAGCTGAACATTCCTTCCAGCTCACAGCAGAAGGATGGAAAAGGTGAGGAAAAGAGGTACGGCAATTCGTTGGGAAAAAGCTTTTGCCATGGATAGGGATCTGACCATGTTTTTACCAGGGTGACAAAAATGCAATTATCGATACAGATGGAAAAATCCTTTAAGAAAGAGGAGCTTGGGGGAAGTCAGGAATAATGCAACCACTTGGTTCAGGACAAGGCAAATGTTGAGAGGACAAATGTGCCTTTGGTAGATGAAGGAAAGGGAGGCTTAGCTTCAGGTCATGGGTCAAATTTAAACACTGTCATATAGACATACCGTCTTCTTCTGTGCGGATCAATATCGGTAGGCTCTCAGGCCCTTGACCTGTGTCAGTGTGGGCAGCAACTGTCACAGAGTACAGGGTCCCTTTCTTCAGCCCCTCAATCCGATATCGGAAACAGTTAGATGGGATGTCCGAGATCCTCTGTACGGGGTCTTTCTCCCGTTCCACTGCCACATATCTGATGGAGTATCCTGTTATGCCTACATTTTCATCTGTCAGGGGTGGAGCCCAGCTGAGCAATAGACTTGTGGAGGAGGGGCTTATGCATGTGACTGCCTGGGGAGGGGGTATGGACTCTGATTGGGTGGTTAGAGAAGTGGGTGGGTTTAATTGTGTGTGTTGTGGCAGCAGAGGTTAGTTTTAGTGTTGTCATGGATGATAATGCGTGAAAATGAAATGAAATAAGAGATAAAGACAAAAAAGAGACAAAACATACGTAAAATGTTGTGGTACTGTCACAGACAGGTAAAAAAAGACATCAAACTGCAAAAGATCAACCACAAATGGTGAACTGAAATGAAAAATAAATATAGTCAACATAAAACTTACTTGTGAGACTCCATCTTTCCAGATCCTTTTTAATTGAGTGTCTCATGATCTTACCTGCCGTTTACACTTAACCCATCCAATGAACGGACTGGGACAATATCATGCGAGTCAGAGGGAAGTCCTCTTTCTCATTTTATTTTTTCTTACATAGGCAAAAGCTAAATACTTCACTCTATGCCATTATATAAGTTTAAGTGGCAATAACGAATAAAGTCCCGTTCACACCAAGAACGATAAATATACAGATAACTATAAAGATAAAGATATTAGCGTTCACAAACAGTGGACAATATCGTCTGTTTATTCTAAGCGCATGCTCGTCTGCCGCTTTAAATTCTTGAGCTCATTACAGCAGGATGGATTCTGATTGGGTGTCAATGTTTTTATCGTTCATCAGCTGGGAAAAAATCGTTCTGAAAGTAATTCCAAGGATATCGTTTCTCTGTGCCTTTATCGTTATAGCTGTGGTGTGGACTCTGCTATTCTTAAATATTGACAATGATTTTTAGAACTATATCTTTATCATTATCTTTATCGTTATCGTTCTTGGTGTGAGCGGGCCTTAAAGGGCCGGTCACACTATACTTTTCTTTCCATTGACTTCCATCCATGTGCATGCAAATGCGAAAGGATGGAAACGCAAGCTCATGTGAAGCTGTTTCGCATTTCGCTGCTTCCCAAAGTTCAAGTTTGGTGAAGTCAGACCTGCAAATACGTATCATGTGAAACTGTATGACCTTAGCTGAAGTAAGAGAACATAAATTTAAAACTGCAACACTGCCAGAAAGTGGAGCAGATTGTATGTTTTTACATTTTGGATTTATGATTAATAATCATAATATAATATCATAATATCATATCATATATATTGTTAGATGTTGAATTTAAGTTTTTTAAAAGACGCTGCAGAGCGTGACGTCATATCACGACCATTGCTGTGTTGCTGAAAAGAAACTTGCTCAAAATATAGTGTGACCGTGGCTTTAAGCTTATCATATTCTATGTGTGTGTATGTATGTGTCAGCATATCAAATGTCAAGTTTATCTGCGGTCTGAAGAACTAGTTTCCACTTTCTGTTCAAAATAAATCTTCTAAGAGCTACAAAGGGACTCTTCTTAAAGTCAGTGTGCGGTTCTAATGAACACTTGTCCTAATCTTACACACATATCTACATCTAGGCATGTTTTTTCTAACTGACCCTTCCTGTTTGCATCAGTGCAACATTTATTTTTATCAGGACACTTTTTAATTGCATAAACAGCACTCGCTATTTGTGTCAATGTAATATTTACATGCATCAATTTTCAGTTTTTTCTTTACTGTACATTTATCAGATTTTTGGATATCTTTCTAGACATTTAATTCCTAACTCTCTAAATACTTTCAGTTGGAAAAAGTGTCAAGTTCAGTTGGTTTAAGTGTCCAAAGTTAAAAAAAGTTATTTGATGAATAAAAAGCTCAAAAGACCAACATTTATTTGAAATAGAAACATTATAAATGTCTTTACAGTCACTTTTAAACAATTTAATTCATAATTTCCAGATAAAAGCATTGTCTTAATTATAAAACCCCAAACTTTTGAATGGTAGCATAAATAATCTGATTGCAAAAATTAATGATATGGATGGTTATATACTGTACTGTATGTGAAATTACATTTGCCACTTAAATAGCTTTAATATCATTAGCAACTTTTATTTAGTTTACCCATACTTTAAATAGGGGATGTTAGACTGTAGACTGAATACTTTGAAATTAAATTGAATAAATAAAGCTTGCAATTTGGGAAGCTACAGTTTCTAGTTTCCCAACACCAGTGTGGACCATGTTGAAAAGACAAAGCTGAATTAAGCTGAAAAATTTAGCTGGTTAAACTGCTCAACCATTATGATCTTTATAGTGACGCTGACTGAGCTGATTAAAGGACATCTTGCTGGTAAAATTAGTTAAGAAGCCTGCCAGCACACCACCATTTAAAACGCATATCTTGGTGTTTTTAGCAAGGAGAAAGGTGTCTGTGCTTGTATCTGTTTTAGAAAAGCTTTACACAGAACATACGTGTTTGTGGAGTCTGAACAGTGATTTCACTGGTGAATGCCCCCAGGCCGTGTTTGCTGCGCGCTGCTAGTTGAAATATGTAGGTGGAAAATGGCTTCAGATTCTTCAGCAGATAACTGGAGCTTGGATCAAATGATATTTTCTGGAAGATAGAGGTTTAAAGTAATTAGCATTAAGCAAGACTCTACAAAATGCAAATGTGTCGTATGTGTGTGTCTGTGTGTACCTGCTCTGGCTGGTCTCCAAGCCTGTAAATGAGCTCATAACCAGTGATGGCATCTGTACCACTGTGAGCAGGAGGGATCCATGACAGAAGAATGCTGGTCTCTGATTTCACCTCTGCCTTCAGTTCTGTGGGCTGGGATGGGACTAGAAATGAGAGGAGGCAGAAAGACGATGCTTAGAGAATGATGCAACAGAAACAAAATAGGCTGCAATATTAGAATCGATAAAATAATCCCAACTTCACATTCTGCACACCTCCTGTCTTGGCAATGATGTGCAGATCGCTGGAAAGAGGTCCATCTCCCACTGCAGTGAAAGCGAGAACTCTAATATAATAGGTTTTGTTCGGTGTCAGGTCTCGTATGTTCAAAAAATTCGCCCCTCGAACCATTTCCTTCTCCCATTGGCTCACAGATAGTGACGAATCCGAGGTGTAATACACCCTGTAACCAACCACCTGACCGTTGGCTTCCTCTGGCTCCTCCCACTGCACCATTGCTGTGGAACCACTCAGCATACGACCTCTGACACGACGAGGAGGGGAACTAGGCGCCTGTTCGGCCGTGCGAGCTTCCACGGTTTGACTTGGTGGGCCGCGGCCAATCGAATTCACCGCCATAACCCGGAAATGGTAGTGCGAGTAGGGGCTGAGTCCACCCACGCTGTAACGAGTTGTTGCTATGGCATCAATTTCTTTAAAGGGGTCGGTGGAGGAGGCGGGACGATACTGAATGATGTAGTAAGATACAGGAAGTGGATTTCCACTGTCCCACATTAGAGTAATGCTGGTGGCAGATCGCTCCATGACAACCGGAGCTCCTGGAGGATTGGGAAGGGCTACAGAGGAGGAAATGGATCAATTAGGGACATTTATTTAAAATATTAAATAACTATTTATTTAATATTGTGTGCTGTGTAATATTTAAATGAAAATCGTTCAAAAGTTTAAATGTATATTTTTCAGTACATTTATACTTTTATTAAGCAAGGATGCATTAAACTGATCAAACGTAAGAGTAAAGACTTATATTTGTACATTACATACACAAATATTTTGTTTCAAATACAGTAAATGATGTTCTTTTGAACTTTCTATTCATCAAAGAATCATGAAAAAATGTATCACTGTTTCCACAAAAATATTAAGCACCACGACTGTTTTTAACTTAAAATATAATAACATATAATAAGAATGTTAGTTGAGCATCAAATCAACATATAATGATTTCTAAAGGATCATGTGACAGAAGAATGGGGTAATGGCTGATAAAAATTCAGCTTTGTCATCACAGGAATAAATTACATTTTAAAATATATGAAAATAGAAAAGTTATTTTAAATTGTAATAATTCACAATATAACTGTTTTACTGTATTTACAATCAAATACAAACAGCCATGGTGAACATATGATACTTCTTTCTAAAACAAAATAAAAAAAATAGTTTTTTAGTATCATCATTACATATGGTATAGCTTCACATACGATACAGCTGGTAAGGCTTCACAGACCTAATGTGAAGGTTGTTCCAGAATGTAGTAATGATACCTCCTAAAAAAGCTATTTTTGGCCAAATTCAAAAGCAAATTCTTACAGGGAAGGTAATCTCAATGCATTGAAACCAGCTCAGTCAAACAAATATTAAGACGGTGAAGGAAGTGAGACAAATGTTGATTTTGTGTGCACTCAGAGTGAGTTGCTGCCTATGAAGAATGTTCCAAGTCGTTGACTTATGAAGTCATATTTCAGTTAGCCAGGCATTAGACAGCAAGCCAGCTCACTAGGCTTTTGAACAACCATCAGCCACCCTGCTTCCTAAATACTGACTCTGCCCATGGAACATATTGCTTAACTAAAAGGTTTTTCTTTCTTTAATAACATTAAACATCTTCAAAGAGCCTTTTAAATATCACTCCTGTGTACCTTTAACTGTGATCTGGGCAACCGTTTCAATAACTCCGAGAGTCGACATGGCCACACACGTGTAGTTGACAGACTGGCGTACATCTGTGAGCTCTAAAACATTCCTCCCAATAGGCATGTCATCTTCTGGAGTCAAATCCTCTGCTCCCAGCATCCATTTGACATATGGCATGGGAACGCCCACTGCCTGACAGGAGATATTCACACTTCCTCCTGGCATGATCTCATAATCCATCGGTGGCACTGAGAAGCGAGGAGGGATGCGACGCACTGAGGGTGTGAAAGACAGTGAGCCATTTATTAACTCATGCTAAAGGCATTATTAATGCTACAGAGAGCACTGTGCCTAATAAGATACGCCCTCAAGATGTTGTACGCTGCAGGTTATCAATCTGTGTTGTAGTGAAGAGTGGGATAAGATGTGGCTGTGCCTCCTCTTTAATGTCCCAGACTATGCATAATTTTTTGTGACTGGCCATATAATTTGAAAGGACCCATCAAACACAGCTGCCTGCGACCACATGAGAAAAGTGCTACACATTTTTTTAAGCTAAACACTGATTTTGGCATGACAAAGTACAGACTGTACATTGTAAAGCAAATTTATGCAGGCTTAAAAATATATTTCCTACAAGTTGGTGAATTGATAAGAGTACAAAACAAGGTAAAAATTTGTTAAAAATTAGCCATGAAGAATTAAAAGAAGCATTTTTCCCAAAATGGTAGTTGTGGGGTTAAGTGTACCAGACAGTGATGCTGAATTTGTAATTTAAATGTAATTAGATATTGAAAAAAGAAAAAAGTTGATTTGAAAATAAAAGGAAAAAAAACACTGGCTTTTATTGGCTGGTTTATGAAAATGCTAATAATATGCAGCAAAATAAAACTGTTATGCATTAGTAAATTATATTCTAAATCATATTAATATTAAACAGAATATATTCCATAAAACAGAAATTGTATTATAAATCATATTCATATTAAAAAATGTATTGTTAGTTCATGGACCATTAAATAATATTAACTAACACATAAATGCTTTAGAAGTATATTTCATAGTTAGTTCATGTTAACTAATGCATTTAACTGATATTAACAAATGGAACCTTATTGTAAAGTATTTCTTTAGTAATATGTATTTGTTATAGTCTTGTGTTATGCATGCTTTCTTGTAATTTCATTAGGACACCATGGAATATATTATATATTATACTGTTAATTTCCCTTCTACTGTATCTAATTTTTACTTGCAAACAAACTGTTCTCTCCCCTGCTTATAAATTGTGAAAATACAGAAAATGATGGTGCTGTAATATCACAGTATTCTATAACATAAAACGCCCATATAACCAAGATGAATGCATGAATTAAATTGTATTATTTTTTTGTTTTTTCAGATGGACAAGTTCAAATGAGTACACAGCATTACTATGATATCATTTGCTATTAGCATGATGTTATGGAATGCGGTTAAGTAGGATCAGGTGAAATATGGCGGATTAGTGTCAAATGACATATGCAGTATTAGGATCTGGAAAGTGAGTTAGACTGTCCGGAGGGAGGGAATCCCAGTGGAGGGGAAGGATTATGTGGATGTGAGGGTCTGAGACTTAGGTTAGAGTAAGAAACAGAGCATTGGTTGGAGAGGAAGAGCACTTACCATCTCTTAACTCTATAGAGGAGTCCGGCAGTGAGAAATGAGCATAGAAAAAAACAAATAATGACAACATATCTAAGGTAAGAGGAGATGATCTAAGAAGAATCAGACAGATCAGATTACACTATTCATAAAAATGTGTTAGTTACAGGTTTTATTTTCTAATTCTATAGCACTCAGATAAGTAACACAAAGCTGTACCTCTGACATAAAGGTTAGCTGGTGTTGAGTAGCGCGTTCCTTCGCTGTTGGTCGCGACACACTCGTATTTACCCTGATCGGTTTCTTCACTCTGATCAATCTGAAGTGCACCTGGATACATATGCACATATAAAGGCATTTACATTTACAACATGACGACACACTTTGTCACCAGCTCAGTACTTTGGAAGAAATGTTCTGGGTTGTGTATAAGTTAAGCTCTACTGACAGGCATATACTTTTTCATATACAATTTTACAAAGTTAGTAAGCAATTCTATCATGCTAGTGTATACAGTAGCAACAATTTCTACTGTATGTATGCATTTTACAGTTCATCCCGGCACAATACATTCCCTCTTTTCAGTGGAACAGCATGTCACAGATGCTTTACGTAGAGCTTAATTTGTACTGCACCTGTAACATTTTGTTAACAGTAACTCAGACATGCCAACACCACACAAACTGGTTTGCATGTAAATATCAGCACAAAATGAAAAAAGTTAAAGAGTATAACAATCATTGCAGTATTACAAACTTTCCAAGAACAACTTTTCAAGAATAAAATAAACCAAAATATTGCCTTAAAATCTCAAAACGATCAAACAAGTGACCTTGCCGAAGAGAAAAAGAAAAGCAGTCAGCCTCTTTCAACAATGTTATTTAAATATTAATAGTTAGCTAGAGACACAAACAGACAGAAATGACTCCAAGAGACACAGACTGTTGCACTGCATGTAGAGCAGATTCTAAAAAGTCTTCATTAAAAAGACAAGATATAAATATAAAATAGCCTGATTTATCATCCAAGTAGAAATTTCTAGCTGAAAATGAAATGGTGTTTAATTAGAGAGAGAAAGAAGTGAAAAGATCCACAGAGGGATCAGAAGAGCGTGAGAAAATCAGCGAAAACAGGAAAAAATGCTTTAATTTGTGCAAAGCAACAGTATTTCACAAAACCGTCAGTATTTTCTGTAATGTTAGTGACAGCAAAACATGTCACTGAAATTGCTAACTTAATGGTCTACATTTCACAATACAAGATAATATAAGATGATTTAGCCAGTTTCATCTCTATTTAGGTGGAAAACACAAGCCATCTCTCATATCTGTTCCTCAACTACAAATTATAGCATTTACATCATATTTTTTTTCCTTTTAAGCAATGGTGCAACCATTCTAGAGTGGAGGAGGAATAAACGTTGATTTTTGTGGCTTTTAGTCCTTGGCTGTTAGCTTTGAAGCCATCTAAACACTATAGAGCACTTTTACGTAATATACACATTTAAAATGTATAGCCTTTGGGGACAACAGACCAAAAACTATAGATGACTCATCTATCAATTTTTTATCCAATAATACGTTCTAGAATGAGAATGTCCCTCCTCCTAATATAACCTACGAAGGTTTTAGGGATGAGCCTTTCAATATGTCCTGCCCAAGCTTCCTGTTTCAAAAAGTAATACAACCACAAGAAAGAAAACCACTAAAGTAAATCCTCTTTAAATGATTTTTATCATCTCACAAAATTAATGCCTATTTGATTTTAATTTACCATGAAAAAAACACATTGAGATAAGATCTGTGTAAAGGGGAGGAAGTCTTATCATGGTGACAGAACATTAATCATGATAAACAGTCTCTGAAAATGACACGGTTAGTCAAACAGAGAGAAAGAGAGAGGAAGGGAAGGGGAAGAGGAAGAAAGAAAGAGAGCGGTAAGGCGAGGATAGATGTGGTGGGTTGCTTTAGTCTCTTACCTCGGATAGGTGTACCCCCTGGATGTGTGAGAATGAAAGCAGATGGGAGATTAAAGAGAAGACGAGTTAGTGCAGCGAGGGAGAATGAGAAAAAGACAGAGTGACAGAGAGAGCGAAAAAGATACAGAGAAAGAAAACAGAAAGATAGAGGGATAGAATAGAAACAGCAAAAAAAAAACAGTGCAAGAAAAAGAGAAAAGGGGGAGGAGGGAGACTCTTCATGTCTTAAGTGCAAAGTGAATGTTGGGTTTTTATGAGATGACAAAAGAGGTTGTATTAACTGAACAGAAAAGAACATTTTCCATCATTTAGCATGTTTTAAAAATATTTACGATTATAAATATTCAGATTTGTATATTATTCTTTTTTTATTTTATTTTAAAATATAATTAAAATAAATAATTTAAAAAAATTAAAAATGCTTTAAATTAATTTCATTTTTCACAAACATAATGCATCTGATCTATTATGTATCCCTGTTCCAGAAACCCTTTTTAAGCATTCTCATACTAAAATAGGTACATAAGTAAAAAGGGGGGGAAAGTTTTAAAACACCCCTGTGAAATATAATTAATGGTTTGAGAGAAAAACAACCGATTGCAAATGCAGTCCAGTTGAATAATTCATGAAATATTGTTTGTTTTAAAACTGCAGTCCGTAACTTTTTTTGTATTCAAAATGTACAAAATTAATATAATAAGCGAGTACACCATGAATCCATTTTCCAAACCATGTTTTTGGCTTATCCTGAATCACTACGGTACAACTATAATAAGTGTTTATATTTGGACTATTTCACACTGGTACTGGTGGAACCACTGCGGAGTAGCCCAGTACCTGCGTGATTCGTCATAGACCTAAACAGAGAGAAGTAACTCCGGCTACAATGTTCTTCCACAAGATGCACGCAGTTCTGTTTATTAACCGCTAGAGCTCCAAAAGTTAAGGACTGCAGCTTTAAATTAGATGTCCAGATTACAAGACCAAAGAGTGGAATAAAAAGTCAAGAATCTGCTACTCTGCTATACTGTTGTGATATCAATGTCACACTATAAATACCAAGTGTTACATGTATTTTACTAACAGAAAAAAAAAAACTGACAGAACATGACAGAAAATTTACAACCAAGTCCGTCAGTGGCAGACAACGATTATTTGTAGCACAACCTCTGGATGACACCTCCGTTTTCTAAGAAAGCAGATCATAAAACCAGCGCAATAGAGAAAATATCCTTATGAATAATAATCGAAAAGAACACAGAGACTTAAGACAGGCAGACTCGAGCCCAGAGAGAGAGGAAAGCCAAAAAAGGCCACGGTTTTGGGTGAAAAGCCACTGTAACATTCAGCATTAGGACATTCAAACCTATCTAGGCAACAAAGTGAAAGAAAGAGAGAGAGAAAGAGAGAGATCTGAAAGAGTGAGGGGGCAGTGATGCAGGAAATCCAATGCCGAGGGCAGTGAGCGTTTGGAGAAGTGAACGAGTGAGCCAGTGAAGGAGAGAGCCAGAAAAAGTAAGTGAGAGTGGAAGCGAGAGGCTCAGTATCACACGTTAGAGGGGCAGCGCTCGGGTAAAGGGGATTGTATCTACTGTACGTGACTGCTGTGTGACTATGTGTGTGGAGAGAGGGTGACTATACTGTTAGGGGGAATACAATATATAGATATATCATGCGCTTTATCAATAACTACATGTTTGTTTGTTTTGTGCTTGAACATGTGAGTGTGTGTTGTGCCTCAGAATAGCACACTTACCAAAGGACTCTGTAGATTAAAACACAGAAAGAGAGACAGCACATTTATCACTTATGGTTCTCGCACAGTAAAAACAGTGTGTTTGAGACTGTCTGTGTGTGTCAGAGAAAGCATATTAGGCTACAGGATTTCTTTAAAGGTGCACTCAGAGATTTTGTGTGTAAGAAATTGTGTAAAGGAATTGTTGGCTCTTATGGTTTGTTACATCGGTCTGGCAGTGACTGCATGACAATTGATTTTTCCCACTGTTATGATGAGTCTTGTGTATGTGTATTGTATTCTCTGGTTTCCTTGTTCTGTTTAGAAGTACTTTTATTATTATGTTTTCTAAAGTATATAGCAATGCATAATATACACATTTAAAAGTTTTGGTATGTTTTTTAAAATGTATTTTAAAGTCTCTCATGTTTACCAAAACTGCATTATTTTATCGAAAATACAGTAAAAACAGTAATATTGTGAAATATAATTAAAATGTAAAATTATTTTTTTTTCTATTTTAATATATTTTACAATGTAATTTATTTCTGTGATGCAAATCATCATTACTCCAGTCTTCAGTGACACATGATCCTTCAGAAATCATTCTAATATGCTGATTTGATGCTCAAGAAATATTGCATATTATAATCAATGTTGCTTAATATTTTTGTAGAAACAGTAATTTTTTTTCAGATTCATTTATTTGTAATGGAAATCTTTTGAAACATTAAAACAAGTCTTTACTGTCACTTTTGATCAATTTAATGCTGAAAAAAGTATTCATTTGATAACTGACCCTAAACTTTGTATGAATTATTACCATAGTGGTATAAATTTCAATATTGGTGCATCACTAATGAATTATGTATCTGAAGTAAACATATTATCTTATTATTATTAATAATATCATTAATATTTGTAACTTGTTTTTACAAGCAAAACTGCTGGTCATGTAATTTCTCCACGTAGAATAAAACATTTTTAAACTACTGATACGACTCTTCATCTCACGTGAGTGTACATCATTTAAAACATATATGTAAATTGTATTATTTATTTTTTTATGTGTAAAACATCATATGATGAGAATAGGAGCACAGAGACTGTGTGAATCCTTCAGAGCACACAAACCTGAGCGTAGCTGTTTGATCCGCCCATGAGTGTGTGTATCTATGGGGAGGAAATCTTTAAACCAGGTGATCTCAGGGTCAGGTGTTCCGCTGGCTGCACACAGCATGGTAGCGGTGCGAGAACGCTCCACAACCTTCAGCTGAGGGCCCATATCTATAGAAGGGAAACCAGTGGGAAGCTGGTCCTCTGAAATAAACAAATACAAACAAGCATTACACTCACACCTCTGCCTTCAATGGAGGGCTTCGATCTTCACAAGGTGAAGGTGATCTTATGCAGATGTTATGCAAAGTAGCATACATTTTGTTTTTAAAAGTTTTCTTTCATTAAGGACCTATTCTTGTAGACGACAAACAGCTCTGATAGGTATATAGACCACAAACTACAAAATTAAAAGGGATGCATTTTTAATTTTGCAAAAAAAAAATGTATTAAGATGACAAACAGTGTCTACAGGTATAGACCACAAGGGATGCACAATATATCTGAGATCAATTTTAATTTGACCAAAAATTACTCATTAAAAATATATATTTTATTTTTGTTAAATGTATTATTTCAAATATATTAATGAAAATATATAAAATCAATTATTAACAAACGTTATTAACCAAATATAATATTATTACTGTTTCATTTAGCTTTTCTAAAATTATTTGAGAAATTATTCAATATATTGCAATTACTGTATTTTGTTCTATAGAAATATTTTGGTTGAAACATTAAGAAATAACATTTTTTTTTTTATATAATATGTTACCAACTTATTACAAAGTAAATACTCTTCATGTAATATTTTAAAATTTTGCTTTGGCTTACAGTGAGGACATAAAAGCTTCAGAGTTGTCGCATTTAGAAAATAACGTGAATTTACAACATACTTAAATTATACAGCTACCATTATATTTTAGGAAGTGGTAAGGGAATCATTACTTTTTGAGGTCCTTGGCATTAAAAAATTTAAAAACACAGTTTAATACATGATCTCAACAAAATGTACTCCACAGTGCACACAGTTGATTCAGAGATTCAGCGTGGGCCTAAACCTGTATATTCTCCATTATATCCGTTATTATTCACTGAATGAAAACAATTATCTTCTAATTGGTATTTCCCAGACATTCTATGTAAGTGCATCTCTAAAAATAACAGTAATACTCAGAGATGCCATGTTTTAAGCAACCTTGACAGAAATGCACTTCAGATGTCCAAGTAAGAGCTAACTCTTGAAGAAGCTTCTAGTCAGATCTGTGCCTACCGCGGAGAACACTAAGACGGGTGGAGGCGCTGATCTCTCCTGCTTCGTTAGATGCCACACATTCATACACAGCCTCATCACGGGGGGTCCGCAGTGGCTGCACTCGCAACACAGACCCTGAACCATCCTCAAACTCTATCACCTACATACCAACACAGAGGCAAATGTGTTAGTAACTCCCTAAATAGCTTGTGTGTCTTTATAGACCATGTGTATGGCATCCTTTGAGCCAGGGCAAATGTGTGAAGTTATGGGAAGTGTACTGTGGGAATCTCACTTTAGTAGTGTTACAACCTTGTATCGCTGCTTGCAGCAAATGTGTAAGCAAGCTGTCTGTATGGTTTGTGTTTGTTCAGTTGATTTACCTCAAATCTCTGGTTGGTGACTTTTTTGCCTTTTCTGCTCCATGTGATTTTAGGCTGTGGATCTCCTGTGGCTTGACATACGAAGGAGGCCACGCCCCCCTGAACCCCTATCTGATCGACGGGTGTCCGAGTGAACTGAGGAGGACCTGCAGAGAAAAACAGAAATTGGTCAACTCAGAATTGTCTTGAGGATAGGGAAACCTTTACTATTTCAAATCTCCAGAATTAACATTGACAAATGCATCTATGCATCATGAAGTTGTACTTCTCACATAGAGGCAGAATTTACAGGCAGAAATTAAAATTAACAAGCACCAGATGCACTGAATATAATAATATAATAAATTTACTCATTATACTTTTGACAGTTAGGCCAATAATAATCTCTCCTCTCCACCTGTAGCCGGTGTGTGGTGAGTGCACTGGCGCCGTTGTCCTGTGGCTGCCGTCGCATCATCCAGGTGGATGCTGCACACTGGTGGTGGTTGAGGAGAGACCCCCCCCATATGATTGTAAAGCGCTTTGGGTGTACAGCAATACACAATAAAGCGCTATATTTGCCTCATTCATGCATTCATTCAATAATTATTGAATTATTAATTATTTTAACATTACAATTCTATACTCCTATGTTTAAATAAAAAAAACACACTAAAATAAAATCAACTGTTTTGAATTCTATCGTTTTAAATAAAATAAAACAAAAAAAATGTAGCATTTAGTACTGCAGTTCTAAAAACTTCATGGGTCAGCTGGCAATAATTTTTTACCTGCATTTGGTGCTTGTTATTTTTTAAACCCTACCTGTAACTTAAGCCTATTTGTATTGTTACATTGTACTAAATATTAAATTCCTATACTACTGTATCTAAATAAATAAAAAACTAAAACACTAAAAACTAAAATCAGTCATTTCAAATAAAATAAAATAAAATAATTTTCTTTCTAAAATTCAGATAAAATTTCTTGACAATTAACCATAATGATTTAGGAACTGCAGTATTAAATACAGTACTAAATACTACATTTTATTGCATTTTGTTTATGATACCAGTAAAAATCATGGTAAGAAATATTTATGATTATTATCACTGGCAGGAATGGCAAAAGTTCTGGTCTGTAACTTAACATGTTAGTTTCAGCATCTCGTGCCATGAGCACAACCCTTGCATTCTATGCCACTTCATTACATTCCACTCGGTCCAGCTGTTTTTGCACGCAAGAACAAATCATGTGGAAAACGTTTAAAAGTAAAGCCAAGGCTTAAAATAATTACCACATTGTTAAAATGACAATAAATTTGACTTTGACTTTAAAATCATAAAACCTATTTGAAAATCAGGCTGTGACTTCATGTGTGCATTAAAAGTGCATTACAGTTAATACGAAAGACGGAGTGAATTAACTCTTGTAGATGAGGAAAGTGCAGATAAGCGGTGGGATTAATGCAGTCTGCAGTGCTTGCTAATCCACTCGATCTAAGGATGATGTCACATTTGCACTATAACCCACTGACCAGCAGCTCTAAACTAATGGCATGTGTAACTAGCCAAAGGCTCAGCTCAGGTTCAACAGAACAATGAAGTGAGTGTGTGGGTGAAAGTTTGTGTCATCCCCCCAGATGATGTACGATGAAATCTCTTCATCTTCACTTTACATGCTTTAATCTGCAAAGGCTCAGATAACGTCTACAAAAGAAAGCCCTTGAGTGCAACTACTCTTACATTTTTATAAAACACAATTACAAAGACCAAAGAGAGAACAATGTTTATAATAATTAATATAAAATAATTGAATAAAAAAATAAATCATAAATCAATTTAATAAATTAAATACAAATACAATTGATTATATTTGAATAAAAATGTCATCTTTTTTTCAGCATGTAAATTCTTAACAACTAAAAACACAATGGTATTTCTTTCCTCTTCTAATAGAGAACATAATGAACATAATGCCAGCCTGATTATCTTCTTTAATGTTTTATCGTGGTCATCAAATGAAAAGCTAAAAATCCATGTATTAAACGTTGACGTAATTTCTTTACGTAGTCAGCGAAGGCCACAGTTGTCTTGTAAACACTGATCCGGACATTTGGTGCAGTGAAAGAAACAAATGGAGGATAGTATTATAATCCATCCAACTGGTTTAGCATGATGAAATTGCTTAGCATGTTCAAAAACCTTATTTTTTAATTACATACTACTTTGTAAGCTGCATTAAAGTGTGCCTTTATCCTTTGCACTGGTGGGGAAGAAGAATATTTCACAAAAAGAGCCAGCAATCATTCTGAGTTTCAGAGGAGTCATTTCAGCCTCTGTTTTATATGTATTTGATGTCTGTGTACTCACTTTGTGTATGCGCCAGCTGGAGCACGCAGAGTAGAATCAGTAGTACCAGCTGGTAGGCGCTTCTGTAGATCATGTGACCTCTGGCCATCCTCTCATTGGCTTGTCTATGTGGATCACCAAGCTGTAAGTGCACTCATAACCTAAGGTAAACATGTGAACAAGCAAACATATCTGTCAGTCACATGTGCAGGCCGCAGCACAACACGAGTCGATTGCATTAATCAATTAGTACTCTGCGTGTAAGACTTTCTCTGAGAATCAGATAACAAATTACTGAGTGGTCAATCAATCCGTGAACATATCATTTAACATAGAGCCATCACAGACAGAGAGTAGTCTAGCTTGCATTAAAGGAACAGTTCACCAAAAATGAAAATCCTGTCATCATTTACAAACTCTAATGCTATTCCAAACTGAATAGGGGATTGTTGAGCTCCAAAAAATTAAACACAAATAAATAATCACATAAATAAATCAGCATATAAAAAAGTCCATATGATTTGTGATACTGTATATTCAAAGTCTTCTGAAGCCATACGACTTGCTGAAAATCTCGCTGTAATTTGTGTCATTGGTTTTAAGGTACATTCACATATGGTGCCTCATGGCCGATTGTGACTGACATCAAAACTGGCATCATGCATCTTGGCGCATCATTTTTAATATATAAATGTATATAGTATATGTAATGGAAAGGAAAGGAAAACCTACAGTACACTATCATTTAAAAGTTTGGGGTCATTTAAAAAAAAATAAGTTAATACTTTCATTCAACAAAGTTGCATTAAATGATCAAAAGTTACAGTAAATACATTTATACAAAAAAAATCTATTTCAAATAATGCTGTTATTTTGAACTTTCTTCAGAATCCTGATTTTAAAAAGGTTTCTTAAAGACACAAATCAGAATATAAAAGTGATTTCTGAAGGATCATGTGACGAATAAATTACACTTTAAAATATATTACAATATCATATAATATATTGTAATATCAATACTACTACTACTACTACTACTACTAATAATAATAATAATAAATGCAGCCTTGGTAAGCATGAGACTTCTTTCACAAACATTAAAAAATGTTACCGACCCCAAACAATCAATGGTGTTTGGAATTGCGTGAGGGTGAATAAATATCTTGTCAAATATTCAGATTATAACTTTATTAAAACTTTAATTAAAAAACAGCATTGAATATATGATAATACATGACAGCTCCTAAAGGCCTCTCTCTCTCCAGCAGGCCAGAAAACTTTACTGTAAACTCAATAATTATAACATTCAGCCGATAAACCAAAGATGGGGGGCGTGATGGGAATCGCTATGGTAACTCTGCCCCCACGAGCACCACGCTTGTCACATCACATCACATCATTAGGAGAGAGAGTGGTTGCAGACCCCCTCATCCGTGCTGCCTCCCCCGTCTCCTATCCATATTTAATTCCTCCGCTGCACTCTGAGGCTTCCTTCACTTTTACAGAGCTGAGAGAGAAAAGACCACACGTGTCACTTCCTGCAGGGAATCATGATGATGTAGGAAACAAGGAGTGAAGGAGGGGAACGGTGACACATACAAACCCCAAATGTATGTGTGTTTCCACATGTCAGGATTCTGCTGTGGAGGAAATGGGTCAATCTGATCTCTGACTCATGTAAAACTGAAGCCCTTCAAACCCCTAAACCTACACACACACACACACACACACACACACACACACACACCCACACACACACACACACACACACACACACACACCATCTGCCTCATTTGGAAAACACTCCACAGCAGCTTAACACAATCCCTAATACACATTATTATCAGGAAAATACGTAGATGCACGCAAGGCATACGTAAACAACACAAATACACTGAGTATATCCACCAAAGATACATCACATCTAAAAAGTCTAAGAAGACATATAGGGAAAATGCTTCTATTTTGTATTTTTCTAATTTAAAATTCAGTAAAAAATATATTTTAAAAAGTTTTAAATATGAATTTCACATAAAATAAAATATAAAATAAAAAGAATAACAAATAAATACATAAAGCACCAAAAAAAAAAAAACATTTGACTTGTGCTACTGTACATTTAAAATCAGAATATTTTATGTTATTTTCTTTTCTTTTCTTTTGACTTTTTTGAAGGCATGCACTCAAGCTGGAATAAACTTAAGTCTTACGATCCATGCTGTCCAGCATGATTTGAAAGAGCATCTTCTGCTTGAGTGGAAGCAAGAAAATTTGACCTTTAGCACAAGGGCCTTAACATTGTCACAACAATGCAGAATCTTAAAAAAAATCTTCTTCGTTTTACATTATAACAGTTCTTTGTTTAAAACTACAATTATTTGTTTGTTTACAGGTTTAAATTAGAATCTGAATCCTTGATTTTCGATTTGGACTGTGTAGACAATGTGGATTGTGTGTGTGTTTATGTGTGTGTGTGTGTGTGTGTGTGTGTGTGTGTGGATTATTTTCCTCTCCCCTGTGTTAGAGCCATACGCTAGCCTGCCTAATCTGGAAAGAACAGAGATCATAATGATAACCTGATATTTCCTGCTTCAACTCCATTTGTGCCAAAAGTCGATATCTAAGCTTTGTGGCTACGTCTGTGTGCATATGAGAGAGACAGAGTGAGAGAGAGAGGAACATAAGAGACTATGAAAGAAAGCCGACAGCAAGTGTGTATGTGTGATATTTGTGGAACAGTGAGACATAGCTGCTGACTAAACAAATCTGCATCTTAATTACTTATTCAAAGATGCAACGAATCAAATAATTGATATTTATTACTAAGGCACCAATCACGTTAACATGCACAGACACAATTAGCCTGCAGTTAGGTGATATTTAGTCATAATGAGAGGGCTAACAGCATGTCATACAACAGTGAAAACAACACAGCATGTCTGTGATGAGCTCTTAGACCTTTTGGAGTCCATTGTTAAAACGAGTTCACACAAAAATTATACTTTTAGAATTTATTCACCCTCATGTCGCTCCAAACTTGTAGCCTACTTTCTTCCATGGAACATAAAAGTAGATAATTTGTAGAATATCACGGCTGTTCTTTTACATTCACTAAAAGTGCTGAAGCTCCAGAATAACAAATGCACCATAAAAGTGGTCCACATGATTTATGCAATATATTCCATGTCTTCAGAAGCCATGCAATAATTAGTCACTGAAAATATTGCCCTCCATTCTCAAATATGTCACCTCTGATGTCTCACACCAGGCTTTACAGCAATATGCGAATAACTACCATAAATCTGTTTATTAAAATAATATTTTTTATCAGTTTACATTCAAGCCAATAACATGCCAGTGCAAAAAAAAACATGTTTACATCACTTAAAAAAAAAAAAAATCAGGTTCATGTCAGTGACAGCAAGTTCTGATGGTAAATAAAGCATTGCAATCCACAGAGTATCCCAAAATGTCAGCAGCAAACTAGTACATACTCATATTCTCCTCTCATATTTACAGTTTCTATGACCACTTATCCTTCAGCTGCACAAGAAGAGAACACATTTTAAAAAATAATTTCTTGGGTTAAAAAAGAGCCGGAGTATATAATATATTTACAATATATACAACCAGAAACACTCACTCTGGTTGGATGCACTTAAATCTGCAGGAAGAATGCTTTCCTGATACATATCACACATGCAAACTTCAATAAGACAATGAAAGAATGCAGGTTAAGGTGTTTACATGCAAAATTGGGTTAATGGGCAAAAATTCTGTTGATCAGTTTATTCTCAATTCGTTTATGACCTTACGCCAATAAAAGAATACAGTTTAACGCATTTACATGACCACACAGGTTTGATGTCACGTAAATGTGTTAAACACAACACAATGTCTCCATCTGCCATATTTGATGATGCTTTTATGGTGTTTTTTTGTCATTTTGGAGAACTTTCATTATATGGAAATGACCGACCAGGATATGCTTGAAAAAAAAAATCACCCTCTGCTCTCCACAAAAGAAAGAAAGTTCTATAGGTTCGGAATGACGTGAGAATTTGGATAAACTATTCATTTAACGTCTACACAACAGTTATTTTAAACAACATCCCCTGTATTTCAAGTGAAAAGAGGATCCAAAATTGCGTAGGCTTTGAAATAACTACAATACAACTCCCTCTCAAATCCTGACTGAGCGATGTACTCTTATTTTGCTGAACCATGTCAGTTTTTAACTATTAAATCAATTTGTGCTCTAAGAGTCCATGGACATGAGCAGCAATTTATAATGCAGCTTATTAACTATAGATGGACCTGCAATGCCATAAATACAACTGTTGTACTATTAATGCTGTACAGCAGGGGTCTTCAACAGCAGGTTTGTGACAGTACTGCAGTACTTTTTGTGCAAAAAAAAATAGTAAACAAACAAACATCAATCAAAGCTAAAGTTAAGAAACTGAAGCTCAGCTAAATGTTTCATTATTCCTCCCACATTAAAATGCATTAAGTAAAATTAAAACGCAACCTATATATGACTCTGTACATGGTTAATTATCATTTTAATGGCTTTGCAATGTAAGCATCAAAGAAATGTATATACTGTAAATGTATTAATTTAATACTATACATGTTATTGTAATACAGGCTTCAAATGTAACAGGAGGTCTGTTATCCACCAGGGGGTCCTTGGCCTGAAAAAGGTTAAAGACCCCTGCGGATCTTATAAGTAAATCTGTTTGGGAATAACGGTGGTTACATAAGGTGATTTGCAGTATTGGGGAGGGAAAATGCTGTGTGTTTCCCAGGGTTTGTTCACAAACACACAAAAACGCACACTGAATCGGATTTAATCACTAACTGAGAAGAGTGAACACCACCAGGTACTAGGAACTGAGTTCAAGATTTAGAGTTTTCTCATTTACAAACAGCTTCTCATGTCTAATATGCATCCCATCACATGAGCACTCAAACATATAACAGCAAGGAAAGCCAATTCTTTGGCCATATGGCTGCTGTAAACTCAACACAAGAACATGTTAGTGTGTTACAAACACAAACTCTACAAAACCCTTCATTGAGTCTCTGTACAACAGATGCAGCTGTCAGGGCAAGAGACAGATGAGGGCAAAATGACATGTAGATGTGGGACAGTCTC